ATATTAAAAATAAAATATTAAATTATAAAATATATATAAACATAATTTATTAAAATAATAAAATTTATAATTAATAAATTAAAATTAATAGTTAAATAGAAAAATAAAAGATAGTAATATTAAATTGAATAATATAATTAATTTAAACTAATTATTAATAAAATAATATGGCTATTAAATAAAAGAATGAGAAAGTAACTAAATAGAATCATATAAAAATTATTAATTGAATAAATAAAATAAATCTATGTTATAAAAGTTTATTATTTTAAAAAATAAAAATATTAATCTGTAAAAAAAGTATTATTTCTAATCTATAAATAATTCTGATATAATTATAATTAAAGCAAATTAAATTTTTAAAAAATTGTAAGAATAATAAAAAATATTTAAGGAAATGCTAAAAATTACACAATAAAAAGAAAAAGTTATATTATGCTAATTACAAATCAAATTTTTATAATAAAGTTGATTAATCATATTTATTGAAATTATTAAATTAAATTTCTTTGAGTATTTTTGACTATTATTCTTTTTAAAAGAAATAATAAATACATATATATAGTAATTTTTATTTTTATTTTAAAACATATAAAAATCAATTTAAAGCATAGTAATTATAAAATATTTATATCATACATAATAAAAAATTTAAAATATATCTTTAATAAAAATTTAAATATATTTATTAATTTCTCCTGATAAAAAAGGTAAATAATAAATTAAATTTTAAATCATATATTTACTATTTAAACAAACTTACTTATATACTTTATTTAAATATTATTTTATTTTTATTTAAATCTTTATATGATTAATGGAAAAAATAATTATTTTCATAATTTAAAAATAATAAATTTTATAAAAATTAATTTTTTCTTTTTATGAATTTAATAATTTTTTATTTTATATATTTTAAATTAAATGCAAATATATTTCTTGCATTTATTATTAAGTTTTGTTTAGTTATTAATTAATTAATTGTAATATTATTTTGTTATAAAAATTTAATAAGCATTATTTATTATATATAAAATTAACACATTTTTCTGAGTTAACTTTTATTAATTTTATTATTATTGGTTTAAATAATTTTTACTATTTATTTTCATATTTGGTAAAGATTTAAAACTAATATTTATTTAATACCTTCAATTTATATATGTTCTTGTTACATTAATCTATTAATTGAAAAAATTAATTACTTTTTATAGATATATTAAATATTATCATAAAGTTTATATTATTTGATTTACATTTTAAAAATGATAAAAAATAACAAACACACATAAATTAAAAATATAGTGGATTTTACTAATAGATAAATATCAAAAAATAAAGAGATAAATCCTATTTCAAAAGAAAAAATAAACTAAACAGATAAATAAAAAAATAACTTCCATGCTTTAATAAATTAAAAAAATAAAAGGAAAAAATTAATAAATAAAATTAAATAAATAATTAAATAAAAAAATACATAATAATAAAAAAAATACTATGTAAAATTAAAATAGTATAATATAAATGGTACCAAAATAAAGAGGTGTTTATTCAGAAATAATAAACCCTGAGAATTCAATATATTTTGGAGTAAAAAAAAAGAAAATTTATATAAAAATAAAAAAAGCCATTTTCATAAAATGGACCAGATTAATCAATGTCAATAAATTTGACATAAAGATAGCGCTTACCAAAGGCATATACATTAAGTCAAAAAGAGAGTGGTAAAAACCTATAATTACAAGCACAAGCTGTACAAAATTCTATATACAAGCAATAATACTAATATTAATAATAACAAGAAGATGATGATGAAAACCAAGAAAAATAATAAAAAAACTAAAACATTAATCGAAAACATCGACAAAACAAAAAAATAATAACAAAAAGTATGTAAGCAATGCAAAAAGCTAACAAAATCGAATACGAAGATGATTAAACAATAGATCCTAAAATAATGGAACCTTTTGATCCAATACCAGGAAGAGTTCCTAGAAAAGTAGCAATAGATAGATAGAAAAAATAATATCATTCATTTAATATAGAATAACTTTTATAGATGGAAGGAATCGACTTCAATAGAAAAGATGAGGGTAATAGTTCCTATTGGCTTCCTTTAGAAATTTTTGATGATAATACATTTGATGATTATTAGGATGGAGAATGGATAGATAGATTAACTGATGATGATGGAAATTAAAGAATCATGACTGCTAAAGGACTTTATTTTGAATATGATATATAAAATTATTCTTGGAAGCCACTTATACTTTAGGCTTGGGATGAGAAAAAATAGAGGTTCATTGGAAAATGGAGAGATAATGATGAATAAGTTGAATTGAATAGAATTTAATTCTGTTTAGATGCAGAAGATCCTCGAAAATTTGCAAAAAGAATTGTTCATGCGTTTAAATAAAGAATGTATGCAGATTCTATTATTAGGTAGCATTTTTGAATTTTTTTTTTTTAAATTATTAATTATTATATATAAAAAGATATAATCATATTATTGATTTAATGCCTTTATAAGATTTAAGCGAATTAGATAGCGAATAAAAAAAAAGATTAGAATCTCTTTCGAAAACAAAACAATTTGAAAATTAAGAAACAAAAAATTTAATTATTGAAGTTAATAATGATTATTAAAGAACAATGAATAAAATTATTTTTGACAGATTTTTATAAGAAAGAAATGATAAATAATATGAAAGCATTCCTATGGAAATCCTTAATATTAACCTTCAGTTACCTCCTCCATAACCACTTAAGGAAGTACCTTATTATGGCATGATGCCTTTACAAAGGCATTCAGGTTCCAAAACAATGTATATTAATAATAATTAAGAAATTAGTCTAGAAGAACCTAAAGATTTCACTGAAACTTTCAAAGATTTTTGTTTTTCGTCATTATTTATTAAAGAAGAAGTAAAAAAATAACTTAAATAAAAAAAAAATAAAAATAAAAATAAAATAGGTAATAACAGCCTTATCAGAAATCCGTGTTGAATGCAATAAAATTTTAGACATGGAGATTTTTAATAAAGACTTGCATTCGTGTATGGTATTAGAAGAATTCAAGCATATCTAAGAGTCAAGTAAAAATTAGATTCTTTACATTTTAAGAGGATCGTGGATATTAGAATTAACAAAAATAATAAAAAATAATTTTCAAAATGTAGGAAAAGGTTGGTTTAACATGAAAGAAACTAACAAAATAACATATGATTTCGGAAAGTTGAAACGTTTTTTGACTTTGGTAAGATTAATAATGCAGGATACTGTATATTCTTTAGTAAAGAAATGTTATATAGATATGTAAGATTATATTTTGAGTTTCGTACCAAAAAATGTAATAATTAGATCCCCAAATGACGTCGAAAATATTTTTAGAGAGGGTAAAAAGAATTAGAAGGATATTATTCCTTTATTCTTGATCGATTTAGTGAAGACTTAAAATGATTAAAATTTTTTATATTCAACCAACCCAATTAATTTTATAAACATGATTATTTAATGCTTTGAAAAAACACTTGATGAAATTTCTAAAATTCCTGACTTGGAACCTAAAATTGTATAAGAACTACATAAATCAGCTAAGCCTGATACTTATATTAGAACACCTATAAAACCTACGGAAAGGCCAATAACTCCAGACCCTAATTAATTGCCAAGAAAGTACCCAGATGAGAATAAATGGATATGGGATATGCTGGAAAATTTAAAAGAATAATTAATGGAAGGCATAAAACCTCTTAATGAATATTTAAATTCTTTCGATGAGTTCAAAGATGTTCTTAAAATGGATCCTGATGAGGTAGTTAGATAAATTGAAATGGATGAAAATCAATGGGAAGTGGAAAAAATATAAGAAGAAATAGCAAATATAAATAAAAAGGAAGCTGAACTCAGAATGAAAATACCTACAAATATTCATTTATCATTTTTCTAAGTCCAAACAAATGAAATATTATGCTATTTATGTGAGAAATATTATTAATTATCAAAAAATTTAATTGAGATGATTGCTAGAAAAGCAAAACAGCAAACATAATAAATATTTAATTAATTTTTAATGATATAAAAAAAGCTTAATGAGGTTCCCTAAAATGTAGAATAATTAACCGAACTGAAAGAATATATGGAATAAATACCATAAGATCTAGAAAAGATTAAATTAGAAATGCAAAAATGCTTTGAAATTTATGCAATTTTAGATGGATTTAATTATAGATTTTCGAAGCATGATTTAGATTAAAAGTGGACTATTTTTGGTTCAACTAAGGATACTTTGTAAATTATTGATAAGAAAAAAAAAGAAATGGAAAAAGATAAAGTCAAATTTTAAGATGAAATGAAAATTATGTAAGATGATTTTAAAGATTAAGTTGATAACTTAGAAAGAACCATTTAAGGATTTAATTAATATGCAGATTTAAATAACCATTAAGAAACTGCTTAAACTGCAATTGATATTATGAAATAAATCAAATAATTTTTTGAAGAAGCCAGGAAATATAATAATAGGGAAGCTCTCTTTGAGATGGATTAAACTAATTATGACTCTATTCCTAATATGGAAAAAGAATTTATGCCCTATGCTAATTTATGGACCACAGCAGATTAATGGTTTAAGAATATTGAATAATGGAGAAATGGAGAATGGTAAACATTAGATGCGGTTGCAGCTGAGAAATTCGTAGAAGAAAGTATATAATTATTAAATAAGGCAATAAGAAGTTTTAAAGACAGAAACATAAGCACTATATTGTCCATAGCATAAAAAGTAAAAGCAGAAATAGAAGAATTCAAGCCTAAAGTACCTTTAATGGTAGCCTTAAGATAACCAGGGATGCAATAAAGACATTGGAAAGAAATATCAGATAAAATGGGAATAGAAGTAAAACCAAATCCTGAATTTACATTTAATAAGGCATTAGAATTAGGCTTAATGAAATAAGTAGAATTCTGTTGTGAAGTAGGAGAAAAAGCTTCAAAAGAATTTTAAATAGAAAATATGCTAAAGGAAATGAAAGGAATTTGGGCTTAAGTTAATTTCTAATTTAAAGAATACAAAACAAGTTTTATTGTAAGAGGTTATGATGAAATTTAAATTATTTTAGATGATCATATTGTAAATTCATAGAACTTGCAATTTTCTGCATTCAAAAAACCTTTCGAATAAGAAATTATAGAATGGAATGATTAACTTAAAATGATGAGTGATGTATTAGAAGAATGGGCGAAATGTTAAGGATAATGGATGTATTTATAACCGATTTTCGATTCTGCAGATATTGCTAAATAATTACCAGCAGAGACGAAAAAATTTAGAACTGTGGATTCTACATGGAAACATACAATAATGACTGCAAGAAATATTTAAAATGTTCTCAAGGTTTGTACTTAAGATGGGCTTTTAGAAAGACTTTAAGAGGCAAATAAAAACTTAGAAATTATATAGAAAGAATTAAATAATTATTTGGAAAAAAAAAGGGAAGGATTTGCAAGATTCTATTTTCTTTCTAATGATGATTTATTAGAAATTCTCTCGTAAACCAAAGAACCCACTGCAGTTTAACCACATTTAAAGAAGGTGTTTGAAAACATTCATGAAGTTGAATTTGATGAAAATAAAAAAATAAAAGCTATGATTTCTTCAGAAAAAGAAAAAGTATAATTCGAAGAAGATGTAGATCCCAAAAATAAAAATGTTGAAAGTTGGATGAATGAATTAGAAAATATGATGTGTAGATCAGTCAGGTTGTGTCTTTTTAATTCTGTTTAAGATTATCCAACTAAAAAAAGAACCGAATGGACACTATGTCATCCTGGATAGTGCATTTTGAATGGATCTTAGCTTGTTTGGACCTAAGAAGTTGAAGCTTCTTTTAAAGAAGGTGTAAAAGGAGTAAAAGCTTATTGGGATAAGTTAGATATTTATTTAAAAGATCTAGTAGAATTAGTTAGATAGAAATTAACTAAACAATAAATGGTAACCATTAATGCACTTATTGTTATTGATGTGCATGCAAAAGATGTTGTGGAAAATTTATGGAGAAATAATGTTGCTGATAGTGCTTCATTTGAATGGATCTCTTAACTTAGATATTATTGGGAAAATGATGATTGTTAAGTAAAATGTATTTAAACTAAATTTCCTTATGGATATGAATATTTAGGTATGATTATTTTTATATATATTTATTAATTTTTTATTTATAGGAAATACTCTAAGATTAGTTATTACTCCTCTAACAGATAAATGTTATATGACATTAATGGGAGCTTTAAAATTAAATTTAGGAGGAGCGCCTGCGGGACCAGCAGGAACAGGAAAAACAGAATCAGTAAAAGATTTGGCAAAAGCATTAGCAAAATAATGTGTAGTGTTTAATTGTTCAGATAGTATGGATTATATTATGGTTGGTAAATTTTTCAAAGGATTGGCAAGTGCAGGAGCATGGTGTTGCTTTGATGAATTTAATAGAATTAACATTGAAGTATTATCTGTTATAGCATAATAATTACTTTAATTATTTGGAGAAAAAGCTAAAGGAACGCCTTAAATTGAATTCGAAGGGTCAATAATTAGAATAAAACCAACATTTTGTGTTTTTATAACAATGAACCCAGGTTATGCTGGCCGTACAGAACTTCCTGATAACTTAAAAGCATTATTTAGAAATGTGGCAATGATGGTACCAGATTATGCAATGATTGGTGAAATTATGTTATATTCATTTGGATTTTCAAGAGGTAGAGAATTGGCAAAAAAAATGGTTGCAACATTTAAACTTTCATCAGAATAACTTTCCTCATAAGATCATTATGATTATGGAATGAGGGCTGTTAGAAGTGTTATCAATGCTGCAGGCTTATTAAAAGCTTAATATCCAGATATGGATGAAGCTTAGCTATTATTAAGAGCTTTAAGAGATGTAAATGTTCCGAAATTCTTAAAGGATGATTTACCGCTATTTGAAAACATTATGTTAGATCTTTTTCCAGGAGTAGAAAAACCAAAAGTCGAGTACGGGAGACTACTCGAAATGATAAATGTAAAATCATAAGATTCTGGATTATAACCTGTAGACTCTTTTATAGCAAAAATAATATAGCTTTATGATACTACTTAAGTCCGTCATGGTTTGATGATTGTAGGGCCTACTGGAGGTGGAAAAACTTCAAATTACAAAGTTTTATAAGCTGCAATGTCTGAATTACAAAACGAAGGTTACTTTAAAGTAAACACTCACATTCTTAATCCCAAAAGTATAAACATGGGATAACTTTATGGATAATTTAATGAATAAACAAGAGAGTGGACTGATGGTATCCTTGCTTATAGAGTAAGAGAATGTTGCAGAGATTAATCAACAGAAAAACACTGGATTATGTTTGATGGACCTGTAGATGCTATTTGGATCGAAAGTATGAATACTGTACTTGATGATAATAAAAAGCTATGTCTTAATTCAGGATAGATTCTTACTTTAACTTCGCATATGACTATGATGTTTGAAGTTGAAGATTTGCTAGTTGCATCGCCTGCAACAGTTAGTAGATGTGGTATGATTTATATGGAACCAGAAAGTCTAGGAATTCAACCTTTAGTTGATAGCTGGATGTAAAGTCTCCCGAAAAATATAGCAAGTTATGGAAGCATAAAAAAGAATTTATAATATATGTTTTAAGAGTATGCAAAAGATAGTTTATAATTTTTAAGAAAATAAGTAAGAGAACCATTGTAAACATAAAATAATAATTTGATTTCTTCTCTTATGAAAATTATTTCCTGTTTTTTCAAGAACTTTGAAGAAACTGAAGTAAGAAGGGTTCCTGAAGAAGAGTTAGCAGAATTGGAAAAAAACATTAATCCAATTTTCATTTTTGCATTAATCTGGTCATTAGGATGTACAGGAGATTATAATGGAAGAATTAAATTTAATTAATTTTTAAGATAATAAATATAAGATAAATAAACTGAAAATGTTATAATCCCTGATGATGATACTATATACGATTATGAATTTGATATTCTTTCTAAATAGTTTGTTAAATGGAGTACTAGAAACAAAGACTTTTAAATTGATGCTAAGTTGGCTTATCATGAAATTATGATTCCTACTTAAGACTCTACTAGAAATATGTATTTGATGAAGTTGCTTTTATCTAATTCTATTCATGTATTAACAACTGGACCTACAGGTACCGGAAAATCATTAAATATTTCAAATCTTCTAATGAAAGAAATGGGAGAATAATTCTAATGTTATACAATTACCTTTTCTGCTTAAACAAGCGCAAATTAAACTTAAGATTCGATTGATGCTAAGCTGGAAAAAAGAAGAAAAGGGGTTTATGGCCCTCCAATTGGTAAAAAATGTATTGTTTTTGTCGATGATTTAAACATGCCTAAAAAAGAAGAATATGGCGCACAACCTCCTATTGAAATAATAAGACAATATTTAGATCACAAAGGATGGTATAATAGAAAAGACTGCTAACTAATGAAAATTGAAGATATGATTATTCTATCAGCTATGGGACCTCCTGGAGGTGGCCGTACATTTATTACAAATAGGGTAGTGAGACATTTTAATATTTTAGCTTATACAGAACTTGATTAAGGAACTATAAAATAAATATTTTAAACATTAGCAAATTATTTTTTAAAGAAATTTAATGAGGGTATTCGTGACGCATTACCAAAATTGATAGAATCATCTCTTTCTGTTTATAACTAAATAAAGCTGGATTTATTACCAACACCTTCGAAATCACATTATACTTTTAACCTTAGAGATATATGGAAAGTATTTTAAGGAATATGCTCGATTACTCCTAAATATTGTGCTAATGTTAACTAATTATTAAAGTTATTTTACCATGAATAAATGAGAGTTTTCCATGATAGATGTACAACCGAAATGGACAGAAAATATCTTCATAATCTAGTTTCATCATAATTTTAGATTTTTGGTTTAAAAGCTGAAGACGTTCTTGATGCTGAAAGAATAATATTTGGAGATTTCATGTAAGGAAGAGATACTGATTCAAGATACTATTAATAAATTGGCGATTTAGAAATGCTTATTAATAAGATGGATGCTTTTTAGGAAGATTATAATTCGGACACTACATTTGTTTTTGGAGGACCAAAAAAGCAAATGAAATTAATTATGTTTTTGGATGCTTGTGAACATATTGCCAGGATTGCTAGAATTATTAGACAACCTAATGGTAATGCTCTCATTTTGGGAGTAGGAGGTTCAGGAAGACAATCTTTAAGTAGGATGGCTACTTTTTTAACTAATTATAAAATTTTTTAAATCGAAGTTATTAAAAACTATAGTATGAGAAGTTGGAGAGATGATGTAAAAAAAGTACTCCTTTTTGCTGGAATTGAAAACAAACCTATTAGTTTCTTGTTCTGTGATACCTAAATTATTAAAGAATAAATGATGGAAGATATTAACAATATCCTTAATTCAGGAGATGTAACAGGTTTGTATTAAGAAAAAGTAATTATAATATATATGCATTAATATTTACTCTTTTATTAAGGATTTAGAAGATATTTAGATTGCTTGTAAAGCTGACTGTGTTAAGAAATAAATGATACCAACAAAAATGAATATTCTTTAAGTTTATTTGTAAAGAGTAAAGAAAAATATTCATATGATAATAGCAATGTCTCCTTTAGGTAGTGCTTTTACTACAAGGCTTCGTATGTTCCCATCTCTTGTAAATTGTTGTACTATTGATTGGTTTACTTAATGGCCAGAAGTAAGATAAAAAAACTAATAAATATAATAAACATATTACTAAAAAAATATAGGAAGCACTAATAGGTGTAGGAAAAGGTTAATTACAAGATTATGAAGAAGAATTATAATTAGGTTAAAATATAACTACAGTAGTGGTAAAAAAATACAATATCTAAACGTATATACAAAATTTATTTTAATAAAAAGTAAATGTTCAAAATAATACATAAATCTGTTGAAAAAGCATCTGTTAAGTATTATGAATAACTTCGTCGATATAATTATGTAACTCCAACAAGTTATTTAGAACTTCTTTCCACATTCAAGTAAGTAATGATGTAAAAAAAGAAAGAAGTTTAATTAAGTATTCAACGTTTAAAATCAGGTTTAGATAAACTTGAAGAAGCCAATAAATCAGTAGCTGAAATGAGAATTGTATTAAAAGATATGTAGCCTGAACTTGAAAAAGCTTCTGAAGAAACCGAAATAATGATGAAGAAGTTATCTATAGATAAAGCAGAAGCTGATCAAACTCAAAAAATAGTATCCTAAGAGGAAGCTTTAGCAACTAAGCAAGCAGCAGAGGCCACTAAACTCGCTGAAGAGGCTGAAGCTTCAGTAGCAGATGCAAATAGAACTCTAGAAGAAACACTTTTAGAAGTAAAAAAATTAAAAAAAGAACATTTGGTAGAAATAAAGGCTTTAGGATCTCCTCCAACAGCTGTAAAAGTAACTTTAGGAGGTGTTGTAATATTAAATTTAGACACAATAAAGGAAAATGGTGGAAATATTATAATGACTGCACAAGAAGGGGCAATAGGAGGTAAAAAAGAAGAAAATTATTTTGAAACTGCGAAACGTTATTTATTAAATGATACATAAAAATTGCTTGATATGTTGATTGAATATAAAAAGGAAAGTACTACAGCAGCTACTATAAAAAAGCTAGAATAAAACATCCTTAATTAGCCCGAATTTACTTTAGAAGCAGTTTCAAGATGTTCTTTTGCAACGAAATTCTTATTTATGTGGTGTAAAGCAATGTATGATTATTTTAAAGTGTTTACAAATACTTAACCCTTAAGAGAAAAATTGGCTGAAACAAGAAAAATTGTGGAAGAAAAAACCCGTGAATTGAAATTTAAAAAAGAAGCGTTAGCGAAAATCAATGCTAAAATACAAGAATTGGAAGAAATGTACTCATAAAAAATGCTCCAGAAAGAAGAGCTTACTAAAAAAATATAAGAATGTGAAATCAAGCTTGAAAGAGCTAAAAAACTAACAGACGGGCTATCTGAGGAAGCAATTCGTTGGGCGAATGATATTAAAACTTTAATTCAAAAATAGAATCTAGTGCCTGCACATTCAATTATTTCAGCAGGGATGGTAGCTTATACAGGACCTTTTACATCGACTTTCAGAAGTGATTTAGAATAAGATTGGGTTATTAATTTAGCCTAATTAGACCTAGAGCATGATTCAGATATTACTATGAGAGGCTTTTTGGGGCAACCTTTGAAAATATAACAATGGAATATTTATGGATTGCCTAAAGATGATACTTCAATTGAAAATGGAATAATTATTGAAAAAGGAAGAAGATGGCCACTTATGATAGATCCATAAACTCAAGCCAATAAATTTATTAAAAATATGGGAAGAGATCATTAAGAAGGAATTGAAATCGTTAAAGCAAACGATTCGAATTTAATGAAAGTTATGGAATTGGCTGTTTAGTTTGGAAGATGGGTCCTTATTGAAAATCTAGGAAAAGAATTAGACCCATCATTAGAACCTATTCTTTAATAATAAATAGTTAAATCAGGCTCTGGCTATTAAATAGTTATTGGAGATAAGCCCTTAGCTTATTCTGACAAATTTAAATTGTTTTTGACTACAACAATGCCAAATCCCCATTATCCTCCTGAAACATTCGTAAAAGTAAGTATTATTAATTTTGCTATTACACCTAACGGGTTAGAAGAATAGATGCTTGCCTATATAGTAGCATTAGAAAACCCCGCATTATAATAAAAAAAAACTGAAATCGTGAAGAAGAACGCTGAAGATTAAAAAGCTTTAGTTAAAATAGAAGATCAAATATTAGAAAGTCTTTCCGGAACAGGAGAAATTGCGGAAATTCTGATGGATGAAACATTAGTAAATTAACTTCAAACAAGTAAAAAATTCGCTGCAGAAATTAATCAGAGAGTAAAAGATTCGAAAATAACAGAAGCTTAAATAGATGAAGCGAGAGAAAGTTATCGTCCTGTAGCCTTCCGTGCATCGATTTTATTCTTTTGTATTGTCGATTTGGCTACTATAGATCCAATGTATTAATATTCTTTACAATGGTTCACTAATTTGTTTGTTATGGGAGTAGATAAAGCACCAGAATCAAACGAATTGGAAATTCGTTTAGACAATTTAAATTAATATTTCACTTATTCTTTATATGAAAATATATGTAGGTCACTTTTTGAAAGACATAAGTTGATTTTCTCCTTTATGCTTACTGTAAAAATTCTAGAAGGAAAATAAGAAATGGATGAAGTTGAATGGAGATATTTTCTTGCAGGTCCTTAAGGAGAAGTAGATATTCCCAAAAACCCAACGAACTGGATTCCAGAAACTTCATGGCCTGATATTTATACGTAATTCTATGGAATGAATCGTTTGGAAGCTTTCAAAGGTATAGATTAACATCTAATGTAGAATACTGAATAATGGAAATAAATATTCGATTCAAATGAAGCATAAAAAGAACCCTTACCTGAAGAATGGAATGATAAACTTGACATTTTCTAAAAACTTATTGTCCTTAAGTCTATTCGTCCAGATAAAGTAGTCCCTGCTATTTAAAATTGGATTGCTGAAAAATTAGGAAAAGAATTTATTTTTGTGCCTACTTTTGAACTATCAAAATGTTATAAAGATTCAACTGTTATTAGCCCTCTTATTTTTGTACTTTCTTAAGGATCAGATCCTATTGCTGATTTCTTGAAATTTGCTGAAGAAATGGAAATGACTAAACGTTATGATTCTATTTCTTTAGGATAAGGTTAGGGGCCCAAAGCTGAAAAACTAATTAAAGAATGCTCATAAAAAGGAACATGGTGTCTGTTGTAAAATTGTCATTTAGCTATATCATGGATGTCTGAATTAGAAAAAATAGTTGAAAGTTTAAATGAAAATATTCATCAAGACTTTAGGTAAATAAAATAATTTATAAATAAATAGTTATAAAAATTATAAAAAAATAAAATAAAATAAAGGTTATGGTTAACATCAATGCCAAGTTAAAATTTCCCCATTTCAGTATTACAAAATGGAATAAAAATGACAATGGAACCTCCATAAGGATTAAGAGCAAATTTATTAAGAACCTACAAAAACATGACAGATTAAGAATTAAACGAATGTCAAAGACCTGATATATTTAAGAAATTATTATTCGGTTTTTGCTTATTCCACGCTATTATATAAGATCGTAGAAAATTCGGTGCAATAGGTTGGAATATTCCTTATGAATTTACAAACGAAGATTTAACAGTATGTAAAAAATAATTAAAAATGCTAATAGATGAATATCCTAAAGTTCCTTATAAAGTAATAAACTTTTTGGGTGCAGAAATTAATTATGGTGGTAGAGTTACAGACGATAAAGATGTTAGGCTAATCAAAAGCATTTTGCAACTATATATAACTAATTAAGCATTAGCCGATGGATACAAATATTCTGAATCCGGTAAATACTATTCGATTTCAGCTGGTAAGTTAGATGATTATATTCAATATATTGAATCTCTTCCTTTGAATCCAGCTCCAGAAGCATTTGGATTACATGATAATGCTGAAATAACTAATTCACAAAACGAAACGATTAATTTATTATCCACAATCCTTTCTTGCTAACCACGCTCATCAGGTGGTACAGGCAAATCTAGAGAAGAATAAATAGAAGAAATTGCAAACAACATCTAAAATAAAACTCCACCATTGTTTGATTTAGATAATGTTTCAACTAAATATCCTACAATGTATGAAGAATCTATGAACACAGTATTAGTTTAGGAAATAATTAGATACAATAGACTTTTATAAACAATGATTGAATCATTAGTAAATTTAAAAAAGGATTAAAAGGATTAGTTGTCCTTTCAGAAGAGCTCGAAAAATAACAAATTCTTTATATGATAATTAAGTGCCTAAATAATGGGCTGATAAAGGTTTTCTTTCACTAAAACCGCTTTCTTCTTGGACTGTAGATTTAAATGATAGAATAAATTTCCTTTAAAATTGGATTGATAACGGAACTCCTAAAGTTTTTTGGATTTCTGGATTTTTCTTCCCTTAAGCATTTATTACAGGTACTATGCAAAACTATGCAAGAAAAAAAGTTATTGCTATAGATTAATTACTTATTGATTTCTAATATCTTGATACTATTACTTAGGAGGATATTAGTGAAAAACCTGAAGATGGATGTTATATTTATGGAATATATTTAGAAGGGGCTGCCTGGAATTATAAAAAACATATCATAGATTAACCTTAACCAAAAGAACTATTTTCAGATTTGCCTTTAACATGGGTTCTCCCTGTTCTTGAAAAAGAATAAACTAAAAATATTTTCTATAATTGTCCAATGTATAAATGTGTATCTAGATCCGGTACATTAAGCACTACTGGACATTCAACTAACTTTGTTATGTTCCTTGAACTACCTTCTAAAGAAAAAGAAGATGTCTGGATTAGAGCTGGTGTTGCAGCTTTCTTAGCTTTGAGATATTGAAAAAAGATGAATAAGGATTCTACTTATTTTTTTTTTTGAGGATTACAATAATAAATAATTTTATATAAAATATATATTATTTAGTTAAACTATTTTTATTTTTAAATACATACAATATTTTAAAAATTTACCTTAATTTTAAAAAAATAAAACTCAATAATTAATAAGTTATTTTGATTATAGATATAAAAAATAAATTTTTAATTAAAAATACAACATTTATATCATAATTTTTTGTTAATAAGATAATATTGTATATTGTTTAATTATAATAATTGATTCAATATTATTTTTTTAATATATTCTATAATTTGCTTTTTTCATATTTTTTATTTTTACATGTATATTCATATTCATTCTAATTTTAGTTTTTCATAAAAAATTAAATTTTTTCATTATCAAATTAAAAAAAAGAAATATTAATAATATTTATAATTTAATTTCTATATAGCAAATAATCTTAAACTAAAAAAATCTTAATTTGTTACTAATTATTTTATATTTATTTATTTTTTTAAAAAAAACCAATATATTTATAGATTATAATTAAAACATGTCTTCCTTTTTTTCCAAAAAAAAAAAAAGTTAAAAATTATTGAATTAATTAAATCAAAAATAAAATTTTATTTTTAAAACTCCTTAAAGCTAATAAACATCAATTTAGAGACAATAGAGAATTTAAGAATAAACATTTAAAGATTAAAAAGAAATTGATTTGACTGAAATAAAAAAGATAGTAAAAAGGCTTGATTTTATAGAATAATAAGAATATGATATTACTTTTACTTTTTAAATTGAAACATATAAACCTAAAAAAGTTTAAAATATACGATAGTTAAGATGATATTTACTATATGAATATAAAAGAAAGTTTAATTTAAATAAAATATAATATTTAAAGATTGCATATTTTTTATATTTTATATAGCTAAAACTTTTTATTAAATTATTTTTATGTATTTGATTTTTAATTATTTTATAAAAAATTTAATCTTACTCTATTATGAAATAAAAAAAGTATATATAATATTAAAATTAACATATATTAAAATTAATATAATTATAAAAAATAATTTCATATAATTGTAAATCAATCTTCAACCTTTTAACTTTTTGAGGTTAAAAATAATTTGTTCCAACATTTTTTTTTTTTAAAAAAAAATGATGGCATTTTTAATGTGTTTTTTATATTAATACATTTTATATATTATTTTTATCAAATCTTATAAATATTTAATTGACAATTAACAAATCTAGAATAAATATCAATAATTTATATTGTAAGCAAAATTTATAAATCATGGTAAACAAAAACATCTTAAAATTAAAAATTATTTCGATTTATTAATTTTAGGCTTTTTAAAATTATTATGTTTAATTATGATTTAATTTTCCCAGTTTATGCAAAATTAAAATATTAAATCTTTATAATTCCCCATTAAATTTTAATAATATAATTTACATATTTTCTTCCGTCTTCATTAAATAATAATTGATAATATTAATTATAATAAGTATTGTAAATCAAGAATAGAATATTTATTTTAAAATAATAATAATAATAATTATATTTATATAAGGATGTTTAAATAAAAAAAAATAGTATAAGTTGTTATAAAACAAATGAAATATGAAATGATATGATTATTTTTTTTGAATATATAAATTTAAAAAAAATTATAATAAATTACTAAATAAATATTAAAAAAGATATCTTATAAAAAAATTAAATATTAATAGAAATATAATGATTTTAAGGTATTTGAAATTTTCATTTATAAAAAAAAAAAATAACCTCTATTTGACAAATAAATTCGATTTTAAAAAAAACAGGTAATATATACAAGCGTTTGTGAAAATTTTTATTTTTAACAATAAATTTTTAAAGTTTATTGTTAATTTAATCTCAAACAATAAATTATATATCTCCTTGATTTTATAAAATTTAAATTGCTTCTTTTTCATATTTAATCATTCTTCCATCTAAATCAATAATATAAAATCCATTTAAATCTTTAAGGTATCCCGCATCATCTTTTGAGCATTTTATTTACTTAATTTTTTTGTGTTCAAGAAGTTCTTATTAATAAAAAAATATTTTTTAAAAAATATAAAATTATACTTTAAATTTATGAAATAATTTTATTTATTTTATTAAATTAAAAGTTCTAATCACTACTTTTTAAAGAATTATTACTAAATTAAAATTAACTTTAATCATAGTTATCTATTCCTTCTTATTCTTATGTTTATCTTAAATTATCACTTTTAAATTTGGTTTCACTACTATATTTATAATCTTCAAATTAATCTAACAGCTATAGTTCATTTTAAAAATCTATCTGAATTTACTATTCAGAAGAAATTTTAACTTCTTAATTTTAAGCATTCTAAATTTAAGGAATTTAAAAATCTTAATAAAACAATAATTTATTGATTTATTATTATAATAAATCAAACTAGTTCTATTTTTATATTTCTAATTATTAAACTTTTTCTTGTACTAAAAAAAGATTATTTTTTATTTCTTCTAAACATAAATATTATTAGTTTTATATATTTTCTTATGTTTTAATTATAGAATTACTCTATTTATTTTTTTATTTTTTTATATCTAAACTCAATTTATTTAAACAATTCTACATTAAATTTAAATCCTAGTTATGCTTTTCTTATATTATATTTAAATTTTATTACATCTTCATGCTCGCTTATATATTTTAATCTAACTATCCTAAGTCTTTACTTTTCATTATCTACAACTAATTTATTTAGTCTTCAAACAATCTATTTTTGTCAATTAATTAATCTGTTATTGTAATTAATTAGATTTAGATTCTAATTATTCTTTGAAAATATCTTTTATATGCGATGTTTCCACTTTTTTATTTATTTTTTCATATAATCCGCTTATTAAATTTTCAATTGTTGATATTTTGTTTTCAAAATCTTTATCTTAAGATTTGTTTTATTTATTTTATATGTTTTACTCTATTTTTTAATTTAGTTTTATATTAAGTTTTGTTTATAATAATTAAATTTCATTAAGTTTTGATTTAATTTATTATTAGTTATTTTATAAATCAATAAATTTTTAATTTAGAAATTATTTTTCATTTAAAGCTAAATTTTGTTTCAAATTATTTTAATATTCACCTATTTATCTACAAAAATTGTTTAATAAAAAATATTAAAATTATAAAAATATATTTTTTTCAAAAGTTGAAATAAATAAAAAATAAATCTACTTTTTACATTTTATTGTTGGCTACTTCTTATTAGATTTTTTAGAAATAACTTTAAACAAATTCTATCATCTAATCTTTTAAAATTTCTATTTATTAACTCTAATCATTTTTTTTTTATATATTCATAATATTTATCTATTATTAATTTTTGTGTATTTTTTAATTATTTTCTATATCATTTAAAAATTTAGTCTCATGTTTTTGAAATCTATTATTTTATTATTTATAAATACTTTTTTGCAATAAATTATTTGTGGTATTATTAAAAATTGGAGGTCTGTTTTTTTAAAACTATTATCAGTTTTATTTTAATTAAATTAAGAAATGTTATAATCACTTTATAAATTATCAGTACTACTGTGATTGTTTGTTTTTTAAATAGTATTTTTCTTTGTTATTGATTAAGAAGACTGTTTTAGTGTTATTTTTTTTAAATATTCTATTTAGTCCATCTCATTATTTATTTCAAGGCTATCTATTTAAATATTATTCATTTTGTATTTAAATTTATATTTACTTATTAATTTTTAAATTAAATATTTAAAAATAAAATAGAGAATTACTATTATTATGTTTAAAATTTTCTTATAAATTAATTTATTATGTATATAAAATTATAATAATTTTTATCATTTATATATTTATTTTAAATTCTTTTATATTATTTAGTAAAATAAATTCAAGCATAAAAATTTTATATTATAAAAACAATATGAGAATAATTCATTAAAATAAATAGTAAATTTTTATAATAATAGATTTCAATTTTTAATTAGATTAGAAAAAAAAAAAAAAAAAAAATTTAATACTGTTCTACTTATTTTAATTTCTTTTAAAAATCCAATTTTAAATATAATAGTAATTAAATTGATTTCACAAGCCCAAATAAATTTTTAAATTATGAAAATTAAATAAAGTTTAGATTAATAAAATCATTTTTTTTTGCATCTATAATTTACATAGTTTTTAATTTATTTATATGACTATAAATATTGACTTAACTTATAAATAAAATAATTTAATTTAATATAACTAATATTTTTTCTTTTTTTCTTAATATATAATAACATATAAGTTTTACAGACAGTCCTTTTATTTTAAAATATTCGATTTCCTACATTTATTTGTTATTTTGAAGAGAATTTTTTTTTTTTAAAGGCTCAGTTCAAAATTAAAGCATTTATCGAAATTTATATTAATACCTATAAAATCAGGTATTTTTTTAAAAAAAATATAAATAATAATAATAATAATTATAATTTTTTATTTTTGTTATTTTTTTTCTTTTATTTTTTTGTTATTGTAATTTATATAATTATATATTTTAAATATTTCTAAACTCTTATAATTTTCTTAATAATTAATTTCTTATATACTACTGTCGCCTTGGTAAAATTCCATTATGTTATAATAGTCATATAATATTTAATTAAATTTAATTTTATTTCTTTTTCTATTTTTGATAATTATATATTTGTTTTTTCTAAATAACTATATATCTCATTATTAAAATATTAAAGAATTATTTTAATTATATTTAATTTAAAATCATTTACATGCATTAAATAAAATAATAATTAAAAAATATCTATTAATTTATTTTATATTTAATCTAATTTTTAAATGTATTTGATATTCTTTTATATCTTATATTTCAATAATAAAATGAATATCTATTTATATTTTTTTTTGTTATGTATTTAAATTATTTTACATAATCTTTAATTTTTATATAGAGAGGATAAAATTTTTCTATAAATATATATATTTTTTTTATTTATTCTGTTATTTATGTTTAAAAATTCCATTAAAAACAACAAAATCCATTATTCAATCTTTTTCAATTATTTTTTTTGTTGATTAATTTCAAATAAATATAATATATTTATTATGTACTTTTTTCATATTGTTTTTCTTTATTTTTTCCGTGTTTTTTTAAAAAATAAGTGAAAACAAACAGAAAAGTTACATTGTTTAGAATTAAATATATTTCCAAAAATAAAAAATAAAAAACATTAAAATAAGAAAGATATAAATTAATTTCAAACATTACTAATTTGATTTATAAAACTATGTTTCTTTAATTTTTAATCAATAATAGAACATTGAATAAAATTTTTATAAAAACTAGATGCGATCAATAGATATTTAAATATTTTAAAACAAATAAAGAAAATTATTTTTACTTATATTCAGATTATTAAATATAACTAAGAATAAAGAAGATGTAAGATTTTTACAAACTTAATATATTAAGGTAATAATTCATTATAATATTTATAAGGTGAAGATAAATCTAAATTTTATGGATATAGAGAAAAGAAATAGCCGAATATCCTTATTAAAACTATTAAAAATTAAGAATTTAATAATAGTAACAGATATCCAAATGCAGAAAAAAGGAAAAATTTTATCGGATAAAAATAATAATAAATAAAAAAAAACAAAATAATATTATATAAAAAAAGTAAAATAAAATAATATATATAATTAATTTAATATATAAAATATATGTAAATATATAATATAAATATATATATATATATATAATTAAATATATTATTATATATATATATTTATAATATTTTTATTTTTATATTTATCTATATTTTTTATTTTTATTTTTTAATATATATTATATTTTTAAGCAATTTTTAATTAAAATTTTACTTTCTTTTGTATTTTTAATTATATTTTATATATATTAATTTTATTTTCTTTATTATTTTCATTCAATAAAATAAAAAAAAATAAAAACTAATTTTGTATTAATATTAATACTTAAATTTAATGGATTATAAAAGATTGTTATTTAAAAATTTTTTTTTGTTACTTCTAAAATTATCATTTTTTTTTTTTATATTTTATTAATTGTCAAATATTATATAAATATATAAATTCTAGATTTTTTTTATTTTAAAGTTTTTAAAAGAAAATTTTTTTTTTTTCCTTTTTACTTTTATATTAAAAAAATTAATATTTTTAACAATAAAAATACGTTTTAAAAATTTTTACTATTATAATCTATTTTTTTTATAGGTATTAAAAATAATCCCAATAAATTACAACTAAATCGTTTAAAAGAAGATTTTTAACAACCAAACAATTTAAAGTTAAATTTTATTTAAATTAAAATTTAAACTTAAATCAATTGAATAAACTAAAAATACATATTTGTAATTTTCACAAGAAAAAGACTTTGTAATTTAAATATTTTTAAGCTTAGAAAACAATTATTATATTATTTTAATAACAAGTAAAGATAAGAAAAATAAAAAACATATTATATATAGTAAATAAGCTTGTAAAAGTTTGTAATAAATAAAAATCATTTATTATAAATTATATCAATATGTATAAAAATAAAATGTTTTTAATATATTGTATTTCATGAATTTTATTATTCGTAATGGTATTTTATTTATTAAATAATAAATTTTTACTTTTTATTTAAATAAGATTAAAATAATATATTTTTTTTTGTTTATTTATTTTGACATTATTAATTAATATTGATTTTTTTTAATTCAATAATTATCTTAATAAAAAAAATTTAAATCAGGTATATTTCTTTTAGTTAAAAAAGTAAGAAAAAATTGTTTGTAAAATAAAAGATAAATATCTATCTGTAAAACAAAATAAAATTTTCAAAAAACATAATTTAACATAAATCATTTAATGTTAAATAATGCTATAGTAAAATCGAATAAACTAAAGATGTAATTTATAATTATTTAGTTATTAATAAAAAAATTAAAAATTATATATCTTAATAATATATTATATAAAAATATATTATTTTTGAAATATATATATATATATATTTATATATTTATATATCATCAAATTTAATTTTTTTATAATTTTCTGATTTCTTTCTTTAATAAATTATAAATTTTTAAAAATAATAATAATTTAAAAATTAATATTAGATCTAATATTTTTAAATTAATTTCATGTTTTTATAAAATTAATTAATATTATCCTTTTTATCAATTAATAAATATGTAATTATTTTTTATTTACTCTAAATATTTATCCAAAAATAAAAAATAAATTATCATTTAAATAATATTTTAAAATTAAAATAATTATCAATTTTTAATTAAAAATATGAGTTTTTATTAATATGATTATTATTATAAAATAATTTTTCAATTTACAAATTAAAATATAAAAAATTGTATTGAATTATTATAAGAGATGTATTTTCATGTAAAATTTTCATCAGGAACATAATATTCTTTTTACGAAATTTTAAAGTTTAAATTTTCATTTTATAAGAACTTCAAAGGAAGAAGAACAGCGTTTCCAATAATATGTGATCTCTTTTCAAAATATTTTCCCAAATTTTTACTTTATTAGAATTCTTCTAATTTATTAATACTTAAAACAGTATCATCAGGATAACAAGCAAATACTTCTCTATATATTTCAGTATTTCTCTTTTATTTTTAAAATATTAAATTCATAAAGATATTTTTTTTTAAAAAAAAAACATACTAAAGCATTTTGATAAATATTTTCATTTAATTAATCGTTTAAAGCATCTTCACATTCAATTTCTGAAACTCCAAAATGTTCCATATATAACTTTTTTCTAAACTCATGAATAGATTTACCTAAAAATTTCTTTTGTCCTCCAAAAATGCATTCTATTTTATTTTAATCTTCAACTTTCATCTTAAAAAATTTTTAGAAAAATATATAAAAAATTATAAATATACAGCTATTTCAGAATCTCTTGTTCCTAACATACTTCTATCATTAATATTAGCAGATCCCATAATAAGAATAGAATCATCAACAATCATAAGTTTACTATGCACATAAATTATTTCAGTAACTGGTAAATTATTAATAGTACCATGTTATCTCAATCCAAATAACATAATATATTATTCTACATTTACTATATTAGGATCTTTTCTTAATTCCTCAATAAGGGAATTTCCTCCTCTAGAAATAGTAGTGTATTCCCAGTGTAATTAGCATTTCATTACTCCAGAATTACTATCATTGACTTCTCCTTCAAACCCCTTTTTTATAAAAATAAATAAAATATATAGTTTAATTTTATTTTTACAGGCAATAAAGGCATAATAATAATCACTTTAAATGCTTCTTTGTTAAGTGCAGCTTTTTTTATTCGATTTAAAATAGCTTAAGCTATTTAGTTTTTTACTTTAGGTCCTGCAGTACATGAAATAAAGAATTAATTTTCAATATAAATGTATTTATTAGCTTAAGTTATAGCATCAATATATGCCAATTAAATAGACATTTCATGGTTTTTTTCTTTCAAACCTAATGACCATGAAGAGCTTGAACGTAACATTTAACATGTAAATGTTCCAGTTTTTTCGTATGTATTATTTTATAATTTAATATTATAAAATTATTCATTTGTATCAAATTATTAATTAACGTGGTTTTCATCTTGTACTTAATTGTTTTTTTTTATTTTGAAAAATGAATAATGCTTTTTTTATTAATTTTAACTAGTATGATTATTGTCTTATTCGTTATTAGGATTTTTAATGTAATATTTACAATCTTCCTATAAATTTGTTTGTTATAAGTTTTCCAACATTTGAATATATTATTGACTTGATTCAGTATCCATATCAAAACTATATTTTTTCCTTGATTTAGACATCGGATTTTGAGCAGGTACACAAGTAGAAGACTTAGTTCTTTAAAATGTTGTATTGCTATCTTTTTCTTAAGAATATCTATATGTGTATTCATTAACTATTTTTTCTCGCCTTTTTTTTTTTTTAGATAAAGTTTAAAAAAAAAAATTAAATAAAAAATAATAAAATTAATAATAAACTAATTTTTATAATAAAATAATAAATATGAAAAAAATATAAATTCAACTATTATTTAAAATAAAATAAATTATTACAAAAAATTAAAAAATAAAGAATTTATTAATAGAAAAATACTTAAATAATTAATATTATATATATCTAAGAAAAAATAAATAAATCTTTATAAATTTAAAATTATTATAAAATCTTTAATAAATATAATTATTTATATTTATATATTTACTATTTTTCCTTTTCAGAATTTTTGAGTAACTTTAAATAAATGTCAAAATTACACTTATCTTCATTATTACTAATAACACTATTTTCAGTTTAATTCAAACTTTACTTTTGTAAAAAAGTTAATTAAATACTTCCTTTTGTTTTTGAATTTTAATTTATTATAAAATCATCATTCGATTTTGTATTTCTTTTTATTTTATTTTTCAATGAATTAAATCCTGTTACAATTTTGTCCCAATAATTTTACAATCTTATATTAAAATTTTTTTTATCTTCATTTTCAATAACTGGTTCTAAAGTATTAGCTTAAAAATTATTATCATTTTTATCATAAATATCGATTTTTGCGAAATTCCAATATTAAATGAAATGCCTACACATATCTTTTACAGGTTCTCCTTCAACCATCATTCCTATATCATGCCAAGGCATTCGAATTTAAGTTTTTCGATTTAACTACGAATATTTAAAATTCGTAACATCAACAAAATCTTTTATTCTTGAATTGGAATAATCAATATCTGGAAAGAATTTACCGTCTTCATCTGTAAGCACATGTTTTTAACTATCCCATCTTCCATAGCAAATATCTAATCCTCCTAAAAAACCTACTTTTTAATCAATGACAATCATTTTTTCATGGTGAGACCATAATAATGGTATAACATTCTTAGGATGACGCATTACTTTGATATTATAATGTAGTCCTTATAACCAATTCTTAGTATATTCAGAATTCAAAGTTAAAGCTATTTGGGTTCTCTATAAACCAAAATACTTATTTTTACACCTTTCTAAGCTAATCTTAATAACACTTTATCTATTCTACTTTCTTCGTTTTATTTTTTCGACTGGTCTTATTAAATAAAGTTAAGGAGAAAGCCACCAATCTGTAATAAATATACTTTATTACGATTAATTGATTTTTTCGTATAGTTTTTCAAAATAATTTTCCCCATCAGCAAAGAAAAGGCAAGAAGCATTCTCTCTTAAAGGTGCAAATGAATCATATTTATGGATAGATGTGTAAGGAGAATTTTTCAAAGCTTATTTTAATGAAATTATTAAATCTATAAAATGGAAAAAACTATAAGCTTTAATATTAAATTTTCGTGTGTTTGTTATTATTTTAATCTCGAGATTTTCCCATATTTTAAATTAAAAATTGGAATCAAATAAAAAAATTTCCCTTACTTTATTATTTGGGCTTATATTGTTTATTTAGTATATTATTCCTTCGGATGTTATTATTATATACCTTTTTTGCCAGCGTTTAAAATTAGAAATGAAACTTGTATAACAGTTTCGGTTTTTATATCGACCTCCAGAATGTTTTAATATGAAACATTCTTTTGCTTTATCACTATGCTTTTATTCAGATAATTCTATAAATTATAAAAATTCAGAACATGTTGATATTACTTAAAGATTTTCATTAATTATTTGTTGTATGTATTTTTCTAAATTTTCTTACTTTGCTGGTTATGGTTATAATGAAAGTGTTGGAATTTTTATATTATTTTTATGTTTTTTAATTAGCTTTTTATGTAAATTCAAAAAATCTTGAAATGTTCGACGAATCAACCATGTTTAATCTTCATAACTAATGTTAAATAAATATATTTATTAATCTAAATTTTATTATTAATATTTTTATGAAATGTCTTATAGTAAATTAGCTTAGATTATTAAATCTACTAAATTAATTTATTTAAAACTTTATATTGATAATTTTTATTTTATTTAAACTTGTTGATTCATTTCTTATATAAATGTATAAAATAAATTAACAAAAAATATAAATAATATATAAAAAAAGAATTAATGCATCTATTAATTTATTAAATTTTATTTAATTGAATTATATATTATTAATTTTAAAATAATTTTATTAAATTTAATTAAAAAAAATCTAATTTAATTGAATTATATATAATTAAAATTTATACTATATAATACTATATGATTGAAATATATATTATTAAATTTAATATAAAAAATTTAATTTAATTTATTATAAAAAATTTAATATAATTTAATTTAATTGAATTTAATTTAATTTAATTTAATTTAATTTAAATATTTATATATATATATATATTTATATATGTTTTTTTTTTTTAGCTTTTTCTTTTATCATTTTATATAAATATTTATAAGAATAAATTATAATATTTAACATTATATTTATTTTTTATAAATAAATATTTTTTTATTTTTAAAATAAAAAATATCTAAAATTAATAAAATATATTTTGTAATTCATGCCTTTTTTAATATAATATTTAATTCTATAATTATTTCGTACATATCTTGTTTTTTATGCTATAATATTTTTATTTTTATTTTTTTAAAATTTTAATTTATTTAAAAGATTTTAATATTATTTATTTTCTTAGCTTTAATTAATATTACTTTAGAAATTATTCTTTCAAACAAATAATCATAAATTTAACTTAATATTTTTTTTTTATTTTTAATTTCTATTAATATTTACTATTTTTTTTTTCAAGACATTATGTTTTTTTTTTATAATTATAATGATTATATAAAACATTATTATATAAATTAATGATATAATTAAGTTTATTAAGGGTTTTTATAATAAAAAAAAAAATAGATTATTTAATAACCTTTTTGTAAAAGTTTTAATTAAACTAATATATTTTCTTACAAAAACTAATCAAAATATTATGATTTAAACTATTATTTTTATAAAATAATATTAATAATAATTTTTTTTATAAAAATAAAAATTTAATATAATTTTTTTTATTTTAGTTTAATTTATGTATAAAGAAATAATATTAATTTTTTTTATTTCGTAAAATTTAAATATAAAAAATGATATAAAAAAATAGATACAGAATAAATATAATTAAATTATTAGAATAATTTTCATAAAATACGAGTTATATAGTATTATATTCTTTCTTATTATCCCATTTATAATAAGTTGTGAATTTTAGTTATTAGTTAAGTTTATTTATATAAATTAAACCAAATATAATTTAGAGTAACCGGAAAAATAAATGAACTAAAAATTAGTTCAAATAAATTATTAGTTAGATACAAAAAAAATACAAAATAAAATAATTATTTTTTTAAAAAAAAATTAATTATTAAAGAATCTGAAAAAATTTAACTTTACAGCCTTTTTTTATAAAAAAAATTATAAAACTTAGTAAAGAAAAGAAAAAATAACAAATAGAAGAAAATTAGTAAATTAAGGGTACTGAGTAAAATAATAATAATAAGAAATACCACTAAATATTTGGCTAAATTTATTCAAAAAGCATTAGATTATTATAAATACACACAAATTTAAAATAAATTAGAAAACAATTTGAACGAATATACTTTAATCTAATAAGCAATTTAATTTGATTGAAAATTTTACATTGAAAAAAAAAAACTAAAGAAAACAAATTAAAAAAATATTATTTGAAGGAAATAAAAGATGAAAAGTTAAAAAATTTAAAAGTAAAAAAAAAAAAAAAAATTAGATTAAAAAATGAAATGCCTAGTTAAATCTTTATAATCTAAAAATATAGGAAAATTCATCTATTTTTTTTTAAAGAAAAGAAGAATTAAAACTCTCAAAATTCAGAATATAAATTACAGCAGTTTAAGAAAAACATATAACTTTGTAATTCAATAAAAATCTTCTTTTTCTAAAAGTTTTGTTTTCTATATTATCTTCCATCTAAAGATATTTATAAGTAAAAATATAATATTTTATTTTATTATATATATAAATAAAAGGTAAAAAAAAAGAATTTTATAAAAAATTGATAAAAATAAAATTATATATCTGAAATCAAAGAACAAAAAGAATTTCGAAAATTCAATTTAAATAATAAATAATATCATCAAGAAGAAAAATATACACTTTTAAAAGTAGTAATATTTCATTACTATTTGCAGTATATATTTACTTTTAAACTTTTTATGTAAATAATATTTAAAACACTTGTCTTTACTATGCCATCTAAAAATAGACATTTTTAATTTTGTTAATATAGATGTAAATTAAATTTGTTATGAAAATTAATACTAATTTATGTCAACAAAAATAAAACTGGAAAAGATTTTAAAAGAAAAAATAGGAATTTAAAAATTAGAATTTATTTTTTAATTTAAATCTCAATATTTATCATAATAATAATTATATTAATAAGTATTAAAAATATTTATGTTTATTTAATATATAAATTAATAAAATAATTTTTGAAATTAATTTGATTTCTTTTAAAAAAATTAATATTTATTCAATATTAGTTAATATTTAAATAAAATGAATAGCTAGCAAATTACATCGACAACAACTTAAACAATAGGCATGCTTACAACGATTCATCTTTCAGGCGATTAAAACCCTTAATTATAACAATAACAAACTTAACAATAAGCATAAATTAAAAAAAAACCAAAAAGAGGAGTATAATGGGTCGAAGACACAATAGATAATGAAAATCTAAACCGCTTAAAATCTAATTGTAAAAAAATAAATATGTTTATTAAAAATTTATATAATTTAATAAAAGTATGTTGTATATATAATAAGCCTAAAGAACCAGGATAAGAAAATAGTAGTGAAACATGTACAAGTGATGATAGTGGTAATGAACTTGATAGAGACAGAATAACTAAAAAAAGACATCAAAAGAAATGTTCAAAACAAAAAAGCAAAGGAGAAGAGTAAAAAGATTTAAATTAGTGCGAAAAAACAAATAATATTGAAAATAATATAATATTTTTTAATTGTAAATGATATATTTTATTTATTTATTCTAAAATAATAATTAAACTATTATTTTGTTAACATAAAAATTTATAATTGTAATTTAATTATATTCTTTAAAACCTTGTTGTTGTTTTCCTGAGACACTTTTATGGGATTTATAACAAAACAAAAAAAAGAAAAATTTGAAAAGTCCAAAAAAATTTTGGTTAAAATTATTTGATTAGAATTATTAAAATATGGCAATTTAATATCAAAAATAATAAAAATTAAAAATTCTTAAAATATTATATATAAAATATATATATATATATATTTTATTTTATTTTTTAAAAAAATACATATAATAATAAAAAACTATTTTTTTTTCTTTTCAATTTGAATCATTATTATTAGGAGCATTTTAATTTTGTAAATTATTTGTACTTTCGGAAAAAAGATGTCTTTTTTTATGCAAAAACTCATAGGCATCTGTATAAACATCATAAGCTTCATTAACATCAACCATTAAAGTATTATAAGTGTCCTAGTTTTAAATAAAGCTTTGTAGATCATTTTCGCTATCATCATCACTATCCTAATTATCAGCCTTTTTTAAAAAGAATTAAAATTATAGGGTTTTTATTTGAATATATAGTTACCTAAAAGAATTTCTAAAATGAGTTTTTCATCATAGATTGATGTTACGATTATTCAATATTCAAAATAAATTTAGCTATCTATGAAGGTTTAAATTCTTTTATTAAGTTTTACATAGTGTCATCTAAAGTGCTCAATTCTTTTTTCATTTTTTGTTTGGTTTCATACATTTAATTAACTAAACTTTATTTTAAATATATTTATTTTTTAAAGATATTTTTTTTTTTTTTTTTACATTTCAAGTTTTTCATTTTCTTTTGTTAACTTTTTTTGCATTTTGAGTGCTTTAGTTTTCTATTTTTCTGATAATTATAATGATTAAATTATTTTAGGGAATTCAGGTCTTTTTATTTAATTATTTTTTTATTTAATATATATTTAAAATAATACTCTTAATTTTTATCTTATTAATTATAATCATCTTCTTTTTCATTTTCTTTTGAAAATATATCTTTATTTTCTGAAGCAGCATAAAGAATGTATTTTACATGGACAGGTAACATCTATTCAGTGATTTATTTAAAACAATAATCTAAAATCATAAGTTTATCAGGATTATTAGAACCAAACTTTTTCTATTTTGATTTAATTTAGTTATATAATTTGATATTACTTTTAGAACATCTATAATAGTTGCAATATCGCTTTCACTTGCATTACTATTTAATGCATTTTTTAGGTTTGATAATAAAATAGTTTTATTTGTTTGTTATTCGTTTTTCTTAATTTTTTTTTTTTTTTTTTTTTAAATTAAATTTATTGATTTTTTTTACACATTAGATTTAATTTTAAAGATTATTTAATAAGTTTTCACTAGATTAACATATTTTTTTTGATTCTGCAAGAATATCAGAAAGAGATGTTACCTTTTTTTAATTTAACAAAAAATTAAATAATTTTTTACTTTATTTTCTAATAACTCTAAATATATTTTTTTCTTTTTCTTGAGTTTCTTGCCGATTCTCTGTTTCTGACTAATTTTTAATTATCTTTTCTATCAGTAGTATCATTTAAAAGTTATTAGCCTAAAATATAGATTATATAGAAAATAAATAAATATAAAAATTTTATTAATTATAATAATTAATTTCTATATGAATTATTTGTTTAATATAAAATTATTTTAAATTTTTAATACATTTTTATATTTTTTACCATTTAATTCATTTAATCCATAACTGGTTTTTGCCTTTTTAATTATTTTTGCGTCTAATCTAAAAAAATATTTTGTGTTTAATATGTAAAAAAATACTTATTGTTTACTTATTCACTGATGGTTTATCTAAAATTGGTAAATTATCAACAGATGTTTTAATTAAAGTATTTATTTTTTTAATATATGTATTTTTAGAATTAGATTATTTTGTTTTATTTTAATTTTCTTATTTTTAATTAAATATCTAAACATCTTCAGCCTTTTGTATCATATTATTTTATACTTATTAGTCCTGTAATATATATAAAATTATATAATTAATATTATGATATTTAAATATTTATATATTTAATTTATTTAATGTTAAATAAATATTCCTTTCAAATACTTGTAAATTTGGAATATTTTAGTTATAATCATATTGATAATTAAACTCAAAACCTTTTTAATTATTATTTTACATTTCACTAAAACAATCTTTTAATCTTTTTTTTTTTTTTTTTTTTTAATAAAAATTATTCTAATTGCATAAATTAAATATAAAAAAATATATAATTTAATTGTTTTTTATATCTAATATTATATTTTTTAAATTATTTTATAAAATCTATTAAATTATTTTTGTATTTTTTTTTTTTAAATATGATAAAAATTTATTATTTTCATACAAAAAAATAATATATTATTCTTAAAAAATAAATTATAATTTACAGAAATAATTAAATATAATATTATTTTTAAAAATTATCTTATTTTATAATCTTTAGAAATTATAAATTATTAAAGAACTTTATTACAAATACATTTTATATTTCTAATTTAAAATAGTTTCTTTGGATAAATTAACAATATTTATCTATATTCAAAACTATATTTTTATAATTTTATTTTGAATAATATCAAAATAATATGTTATATTATCTATATATGCTCTAAAAGTATTATATTATTTATCTTAAATAATACTTTTATAAATTAATGAAGAATTAAATTTTTTGTAAATATTAATTAGTAAAATTTGATTAATTAATTTTAAATTTAAAAAAAATAAAAGTAAAATTTAAAAAAAAATAGTAAAAATAAATAAATATAAAAAACAAATAAGAATAAATTATAGAAAAAAATATAGATGAATATTAAATTATTTTAAAAATTTAAATATCATTAAAGTCCCCCAATATTTTTAATAAATTTATATAAAAATGCTAATCCAATAAAAGTATATATAAATTAATATTTTTATATACTAATTAATTAATATTCTTATTTTCCTTCTTCAAATAATCTTTCTACCCAATCATTCAGTTTTGATATTTCTTCTTAGTTATTTTAAGTCATTAATTTATTATAATCTTATATTAATTTCGATTAGTTAATATTATCATCAATACTATATTAAACTTCTAAATAATTATCCTTAATATTAACTGCTATAGGTTTTTCTAAGGATATTATAAATTACTATGAAATAAATCACAAAAGTAAGGATTTTATTATTATTGCATATTAGATTCGTAATCCTAATATATAATTTTATTTATGTTTTTGTATAATTATTCTTTTTCTTTTAATTAATTAAATTTATTCATTTTATTTATTAAATTTTTATTTTCATATTAAAATTTTTTGTTTGCCTTTTGAAAATGTATTTATTATATATGTTAAGAAAACGATCTTCTTAAAAAATGTTAACTAATATTTTAAAAACATGATATATTTATACTAGGCTAATATTTATCCATTCAAAAAAAAATAAAAAGAAAAAAAAGTAATTTATTTTTATCTTTATTAATTATTTAAGAAAATATATAATACTATAAATTATTATATGGTATAAAGATATTATAATAAATAAATTTAATAAAAGTATATATAATAAATTAAATATAAATTTATAAAAATTATTAAATATTATTAAAAATATTTTAATATATGTTAATCTTTATATTTATATAGATATCTTTATTAATAAGTTTTTTTAAAAAATAATTTTTAAATATATATATTATCTCATAATAGTTTATATTTTTTAAAATTTCATTCTTATTTATTTTATTTACATATCAATAATAATTAAAATAAATTTTAATTAATTATTATTTTAATTTTTACAAAAAATATATATATATATTTATTTATATATAATTATAAATTCGTTTTTAGAAATTTAATTTTCTACTTTACTCTAATTTTTTTTTTTTCATATTATTACTTACATAAATTTTTTAAATTAATAAGATAATTTTATTAAAGAAATATTGTAAAAAAGTAGTGTATTTTTAATTATATATTGATTAAATTCATTAAATAATGTAATTTTAATAAACATTTAAGTAAAGTAATATTTTTACAATTTTTTTATCTTTATTTTGATCTGTACTTTTTTAAAAAAATAATAAACAAATAAAAAAAATGATTTTTTTTTTAAAAAGTAATTAAAAAACATTTCGAAATAAACTAAGGAAGATATAATATCGAAAAAAGAAAATAATAAATATCAAAAAATAAATTTATTTCAATATAAAAGTTTATAAAATATAAAATATTAAAAATTATTTTAAATTTATTAAATTATAATTTTTTCAAATAAGTTATATTGTTATATTATTATTAACATTTTATAAATATAAATATTATAATCCAAAATAATTTTTAAAATTAAAAATTAAAGATATGAATTAAAAAATTTATAAGAAATAAATTAATTTATAGGTTTATAAATATTTTTTATTTTAAAAAAAATTTATATTAAAATATTTTATTAAATTCTATTTAATTTTCTATTATTTATATATATATGTTAATAAAAAATATATAAATATATATGTATATTATTAAATATATATATATATATATATATATTATTTTATATTTTATTTTTATATATTTTTTTTTTTATTTTATTTTTATATTTTATATATATATAAATCTTTATTTATTTTTATTTATATATATTTTAATATATTTATATATCAATATATATATATTTCTATATATATATATTTTACTAAAAATTTTTATTTATAATTAAAATTAGTTTAAAATTACTAAATAAAAGATAATTATTTTTTTTATAATTTATATATTATAATTTATATTAAATTAATATTAAAACTAAAAAACATAATTTAAATCAATTACTTTCATTAATGTAAATTTTAAATATTTAATTATTTCCTTCACTAAATAAGAATTACTTAATTAGATTTTTTTCTTATAGATGTTAATCAAATATTTTTTCACTTATACCTGCTCTAACTCTTGTGGCTATATATACTATTAGATTTTTATTATTATCAAATAATTTTCTTAAACTTACAGTTAAAGGTTCTATACTTGCAATCCAAAACATAATATCAGCTCCAATTATAATGTCAAATTTTATATTTTTATGTTATTTTAAAAATTCCTTTATATTTTTATTATTTTAAAAAATTGTATTATTTTTTTTACATTTTCTCCCCATTTAAATATATTAATTTCTACATTTTTATTATTAGCATATTATTTATTTATTTCCATTAATTCATGAATTATTTCATTACCATCTGTTATATATACTTATTTTGCATATTAAGAACATACTAAACCTGATAATCCTACACCTGCTCCTAGTTCTAAACATGTTTTATTCTTAAATGCCTCCTTGTTATCAACTATAAACTCAGCTAATTATTCAGCAGCTCTCCAGACTATTTATCCTGTCAAATCCCAATCAGTAGAGCACGAAACTGATGCTTAATACTCTTATTCACAATCTTTATATTAAAATTTTTTTAGAACATATTCTCTATTTATGAAAAGGTTTGCATCAAAATTATCTTCCATTTAATTGTAGTTTATATTATATTAAAAGTTAAAATTATTTTATATATAATGTTAAAAAAATATAATAGTAACTATTTTAATTTATTTTTATTTTTTATATTTTCTTTATTTTTTATTTAAAATAATTTAATTATTTATATAAAATTATTAACGATTATAGATTAAAAATAAATAACTTGTAATAATTAAAAAGCCAAGTAAAAAATTATAAAAAAAGTTAATATTTTAAAAATAGAAAATTTACAAACAAATAATTAATTATTTAATAATAAAAATATATTAATTTATGCAGAATAATTAAGATAATTTAATTAAAATATATGAAAGCCTAAAAAACATTTAAAGTATATGTTAAGACAAAAAAAATATGTTTTCATTTAACTTACAAGATAATAACGATTGTGAAAAATTAGTTAATTATGTAGTTGATTAATAAAATTTAATACAATAATTATATTAAAAAATAGATTTTTTAGTTTAAGAAATATATAAAATATCTAATATACTAGAATAAATGACTTAATAAAATTAAAAAAACAGATAAAAATATGAATAAATTAAACTTAATAATATCAATATTAATGGCTAAAATAAATAAAATTAAAATAATCTAGTAAAAATAGAAAATTCAATAAAAAATGAAAAATGTAAGACTTAATTATATAATATTTTTTAAACATTATTTATAAATATCTTTTTATTAAGAAAATTAATGTTTTAATAATTAAAATGATAATAATACATTTTAGAATTTTAGAAAACAAATAAATTAAGCAAATAATTAATATTTCATATATAATCATTCACATATACTACAAGAAAATCATATTTGTAAATAAAAATAGTAAATGTTGAATAAAATTAATTAAAATTTAAATATGATAGAAATTAAAAAATATAAATTTAATGAAAATATTGTCAAATCAAATAATATAAAGTAAAAAGCATAAACAAGTTAATATAGTAGAAGCTAATCGCCTTAGCATTACAATAATTATGATTAATATTTTAATATTGATTCTAATTATGGAAAATTATAAAAACCAGTTAAGTGAATAAAGTTACAATAAATTAAAATATATTTATTATATAAAAAATAATTAATATAAATAATAAATACTATATATAAAGATAAAATAAATAAAAAAATAACATTACATATATATTATATGATTAAATAATATAGTAAAAATATAATATTCGAAATTATAAATAATATATAAATAAAATTTCAGATAATAATAATTAATAATAAAATTAAAACTATTCTAAATTTTAGAAAAACATAATATTTTATTTTAATTAAATCTTTTCATATTAATAATAATCAAAAAAAAAAATATTTATTAAATATAATTATATTATTTAAATTTTTTAAAGTAATTAAATTAAATATATTTTTATATAAAAAAAAACATTATTTATTTAATTAAATAAATATTAATTTAATTAAAAATAATATTATTCATTTAAATTATATATATAAATTAGACTATTTATGTATTTTATAATTTCAAAAAAAATAATATCTTATATTAGAATATGTTCTAAATTAGAAGAAATATATATATTTCAAAAAAAATAGATATATTAAAAATATATTAAATTTGATATATTTTAGTATAAATTTTTTAATTTATTAATCTTTATTTATGTGTGTATATTAAGTGTTTTTAGATTTTTCTTTTTATTAAAATATTCTCCTAAAAAAAAAAGTTTTAAATATTTTATTTTAACTTATAAAATTCAAATAAAAAGGAAGAGGAGCAGTATATTGATAATTAAAAGAGTAATGAAGATTATAGAAATATTCGTTTTCTTTACAATTATTATTTTGATTTAAAATTATATAATTATAATATTTGTTATTAAAATTAATTTAATAACACATTTATTATTATCTTAATCTTGTAAAATAAATTAATGTAAGATTTAAAAGTTTCTTTAATATCAACTGTAATTTTATTATTAATATTTTATTTCTATTGAGAACAAGATTATAAAATGTTTAAATTTATAAAAAAAACTGATATTAATTATTTAATTAAATAAGGATTTAGAGAATTTTATAAAGGAATTAAAACTTCATTAATTGTATCGCTTTTTAAGAACTTCAATATATTTACTTACTTATAAAAATATCAATTAAATTTTAAGCTTTTAAAATTAAATATAAAATATATAACAACCTGATTTATATCTGAATTAATATGTAATACAATACAATAATTATTTTTTGGTTATAACAAAACAATATAAATATAAAAATAAAAGCAAATACAAATTTAAATAAATATGTTTAATAAATTTATAATAATAATGGTTATAAAGGGGTTATTTTAAGCTATATAAGTATTTTTAACTATGTTATATATTTTCTTTTATATGAAATATTTAAAAAAAAAAAAAGTTAATTATTAATAGTTCTTTTTATAAATTATGTGCTTTAGTATATATTTATCTTAGTTATTTAATTGTTACTAAATAATAGTTATGTGCTTAAAATATTGATTTTATTAAACAAATTTATAATTTATATCAAATCAAGGATTTATTAAGAATTTAAATGTAAAACCTTATTTTTAATATTATTAAAATAATTACATAAGAAATAATTTTAATTAATAATATAAAACTCAATTTATTCATATTATAAGTTATGCTTTTATTTTTTGTTTCAATTAAATTGTTTTAAGAATTTATTAAAAGTACAATTTTTAAATTTATAAAATAAATAAAAACGAGTTGAAAATCACATATTTTTTTATTATTGGACTGTTTTTTAGAATTTTTTTAAAGTGGATCAATTAAATCTAATTGATTTTTTTTAAAAAAAAATAATTAATTAGAGACTATTAAATTAGTAAAAATCAAATCATTACATTCCTATTACATATTATTAAATTATTTAAAATATATATGATTATATTAAATGAAAAGTGTAAGATTTATTTAAAAATGAACTTAAATAATTTTATTGGAAATTTATAAAATTAAATTCTAAGAATAATTTAAAATATTTATAAATAGGAAAAATTAAAAATAATTTTTAAAATAAAAATTTGTAATTAATTTTTAATTATTTGTAATAATTAAATTAAATAAACACAAAATATATATAAAATTATTATTATATATATTATTTAATATATAAAAGACTTTTAAATATTTTATTTTTTTTAAATATATTTATGAATACATAAACTTAGATAACATAAAATGTTAATTAATAATTAATATATAATATACTAAAATTTATTATAAGTATAAAAACAAAAATAAAATATAAATGCATTAATATATAAAAGTAAAATATATATATATATATATATATATGAAATAAATTATTATATTTAAATTAAAAATCTTTTAATTATTTATATATTACTTATATATTTATAAATATATGTACTTTTTTATTTATTTTATATCATACTTCAATTGAATTATTAATTTTACAAAATTCATTTAAATTATTTTATTAAACATTTTCATAAAACCTTTTATTTTTATCCTCTTTTTATACAAAGATATTAGCTGTAAGATTTTTTTCATTAATTTTAATTTTATTGTGAATTTGTTATTAACATTTAACTAATTCATTAATAATAATCGTATTATTTTAATCTAATTCTAAAGCCTTTTAAAAATTTTTTCCAGCACTTTAATAATTTTCACTTGTTAGGTATATTTTTCCTAATAGATAATATGCTTTTGAACTTTTATGGTCTAATTTTAAAGCTTCTATGCAAGCCTTTTCAGCATCTTATATATAATTGTTTTTTAAATGCATCATTTTTAAATAGGATAAGCATATGTTTTAGTAAATAATGACTTTTAAGTTTTTTATTTATTTTTTTTCCTTATCTGATTTACCATTTTCATCAAAATATTCCAAATCTTCATCACAAAAAAGTTCAGGTTTATTTTTCCAATTTGGACGTTTACTTTTTATATAACGAAATATACAGATAGCTTATTCATAAAATTTGGAAGCTTCTGCATATTACTTTTATTTAAATTTTTGATTTCCAGTCATTCTTAAAAGGTCGGAAACAAAATATCTTTATAAAGGTGGTTATAGTATTACATTTGCAAAATTGTCTTAATAAAAAAGACCTTATTTAATAAATTAAGGAAAACTTTCAAATTTCTTAATTTTATAAAAACTTTCTTAATTCTTGTTTTTTAATTAATTTTAAAATAATTAAATATAATCTTCCATTTCCTTTAAAATTATATATATTGTTCAATATACTTTTATATTAAATTGAAAATGTTTATTAGTTTTTATTGATTTTTTTTTAAAAAATATGATATAATAAAGTTTTTTTTATGGTTTATATATAATTTTTTTTTTGGGAAAATATTATTTTTTACTTTAATATTTATTATACAATTGCATAATATGTTATATATTTTTATGTAAAGAAGAAAATAATACTAAATAAAATTTACTTTGTGAACATTAATTAATAAAAACTAAAATAATTGTTTTTTTTGAATAAAAAATATATAATTATTTATTTTTTTATAAAAAAAAAATTAGTTTTTTCTTATGCGATTATAAAGAGACTAATATTGTTTTAATAGAAATTAATTAAACATAATATTAAAAAATTAAAATTTTTAAAAAATTAAAATAAATTATTTAATTTTTTTTTTGAATTTCTATTAAAATTATTGTCATCATTAAAATATTTCTAGTTAGTTTTTAATAAAAAAAAATATATGTGATATAATTAATAATATATAATAATATTAAAATACCTTTATTTTTATGTTTTAATTAATTTTATTATGTATTCTTATAAATTTTAACTAATTAAGAGATTTCAAAGCTTTAAGTAGTAGTAAATTAATACACTTTATCATTAGTAAAAGAGAATTAAATCATTGTAGGAAAAACTTTAACGTTTAATAATTCAAAATACTAAAAAGAACAAATTTCTTAAATTTTATTAGGCTATAAAAAATAAATTCTATCAAATTTAATTCCAATCCAAATATTATCAGTAAAAACACATTCATATGAAGAATTTCTTAAAGTATTTTTATAAGTTTGAACATAAAATAAAGAAGTACCAAAAAATTATTTCATTTTAACAACATTCATAAAAATAAGACGCGCATAAATTCTTAAATAATTAGGGTTTTTATTATTTTAATCTATTTATAAATTATTAAAAAATTAAACTAATTCTTCAAGTTTATTATCCACTCCTACTTTCCATTAATCTTCAGTAAACATATTGAAAATTAAAATAGGAATAATAGATTTTATTTATTAAATTTAAATAGATAATTTCACATGATTAATATCCAAAACTTAATTAATATACAAATAAAGTACTACAAAAATGCAATATTCAGGAAAATCTAATTATAGTTTCATTTATTATATATCTTCGAATAATTAAGAAGAAATAAGTTTTAATCTACATTAATCAGATTTATAATAGTTTTATTCTTGTTCAAAAGAAAGCCATAAATATTTTTTAAAAACAACAGTATATTTTTCTGAAAAAAAAAGGCCAAAATTGGTCATAATTTTAGTAAAAACATTATTCTATTTTTTCTAAACTTTTTAGGAGAAAAGCAATTTATAAAGCATTTCATCTTCATCTAAAACATGAATATTTTGTTAAGAATCCTATAAACATAACCTAAAATCTAAGCATTATTTCAAACCTATAAACTAAGAAATTTATTAACATATTTCTTAACAACGCATAAATTTTGAAATTTATATTTGAATTTCTTTTTTATCTGCAAATTTTACATTTATTTTTTAAATTTCTTATTCTTGACAATGACAATAAGTTTATCTATTTATCTTTTAGTATACTGGTCTAATTTCTTATAAAATATTAACAGATTTATCAAGATTTTGCTCTTAATTTGATACTTAAGATAATTACAAACTATTATCTTAAACAGTTATATTTATAATATATCCTATTTCTTAAGAAACAGATGAATCAGATTAACTCTTTAATTTATCAGGTAATGTATAAAAATCCATTGGAAGTCCTAAATAATCTAAAATAGTTTTCGACTTTTCAGAACTATTAAAATCTTAATGTGAAAGTATCTAATATAGTTAAAATATAAAAAATAAATATAAATATTTAAATAAATACAGTTTATAAAAATTTTTAAATAGTAAGTTTCCTTGATTCAATAGTTTTTGTTTTTAAAGAACCTATCCAATCCATTCTACTTAAATGGGGGATATTAATATTAGGAAAATTTTCTCTTATTTTTTTTTCTACCTCTACCATTTCACTATATCTAATAAAAATTTTTTATAATATTTCTTAAAACTTTATTTCTATTATATATATTGTATATTTATTAAAAGACATAGGGTTTCTTTCTTCTGTTCCTATAACATTTATTTCTATATCATATTTTATTTCTTAAGAATTTGATTTTTATGATATATTCTTTATCAAATTTTAAAGTTTATCAATTAATTCATATTTTTATTATTCATTTTGTGCCATTAATTATATGGAATTGTTTTTTCCGTTTATTTAGAAAACATTCTTGAAATATTTTGTATCTTCTATAATTTATATTCTACTACTTGTATCTAAAAATACATAATCGGAAGCTTTTACGTTTCCTTCAATTGTTTTTTCAGAAACTAAAATTAAATCTGTTAAAAAATATATAATTACTTATTTTTCTGAATTATTATCACAATAATTTAATATTTCTTCACTTTTTATTTTTTTTTAAAAAAAAACAATATTTTTTTTACAATAAAAAATCTCGTTAAGCAACTCCAATAATATTAACTTTTTCCTCAAATAAATTTTATAATTCAATTTTTTTAAAACTGGAAAGATATTTTTCCATTGCTTTGTTATTAAATTCATTAACTTCTTCGAATTCTTTAAGAGCTTTTTTAATATTTAAATAATCAGGATGATTTTCATAAGTATTTTTTAATAAATCTTTAAATAAAAGTACATATTTTGGTAATCTTTAAACAGGTTTTATAAGATAAGATTCTAAATCTCCATTTAAAAGTACATTGTTTTCAACATTTTAAATAAATTTATTAAATTTCTAATTTTAAGTTTTTAACTTTTCACATAATTATCTCGAATGATCAAAATTGTTCAAATATTCAATATACATTTTAAAATATGGAATTATAAATAATATACTGTTTTTTGTAAAAATTGAATTATAATGATAGTTTTAAAAAGATTCATAAATACTTTCATAAAACTTCTAATTTAGTTAATATATTTAATTTATTTGTAAAAAAATTTCTTATATTTGCTCATTAGTTATTATTTATTACTCTTATAAAGGATTTATTATATCATGTTATATTATTTTTAAGCATTCTACATATTTTTTTTCTGTTTATATCAATTCTTGTACTACATTATATCTATATTTTGATTACTTTTTTATCTTTTTGTATATTAATCTTTGTTTTTTTCCACGAAAAACACTCTGGATTTTTACTAATGATTTTTCAGCATTTTTATTTAATTTAAATTCATTGTTTTATTCTTAAATTAATTACTTATTTATTAAATCAACAGCAAATTAACTTATTATTTAATTTAAGTTTTCATTATTTATTTTACAATTTTAATCTTAATTAATTAATTCTTTTTCTTATTCATTTATCTCTATTTAAGATATTTCTTGTTAATTTTTTTCATTTGTTTTATCAATATATTCAATAAAAACCTAATATTTTTTATTAATATTTTTTTCGTTACTATATATCTTCGCAAAAATAAAAGTAATTTAATTTCCTGGAAAAAAAAAAAAAAGAAGAAAAAGAAGAAATAGTTATTTTTAGAGGATATGTTTCGATTTTTCTTAATATAATTCTTCTTATTTAAAAATTTGTTAATATAAGTTTATAAATACACAAAGTAAATATATTTATCAAAAAAAAAAAAAATATTTTTATTTTTATAATAAAATCAATCAAATAATTTAAAAATGTTTTTTTTTCTTTTTTTTTTTCTGTGTTTTATAAAAATACATTAGTATAAATATATTTTAATAGGAATTATATTAAGAAAATTCCAAACTCAATAAAAATGGCTTCTTCTTCTTTTTTTTGTTCTTTTGTTTAATAAAATTAAATTACTTTTATTTTTGCGAAGATATATGATAATATTTAAATTAAATTTTATTTTGTTTATTACATTTTATTATTATGGTTTATTATGATCTTATTTATTTATTTACTCTTAAAAATTATATTCTTCCATATTTTTTTAAAAATAATAAAAAATAAAATACTAATTAAAATTAATTATATTATTTTATAAATAAAAAAATATAAAAAATCTTTATAATTAATAAAAAAAATCAATACATAATTGTTATTTTAGTTTAATTTTATAAAATATTATAGACATTTTTATATTTTTTTTTTTTTGTATTCATTTGATAGTTTTATTTAATTATAATAATTTTTTTTTTTTAAAAAAAAAAAAAATTATCATTTATATATATTATCTTAATTTGCACTAATACTTCTAATTTTTAAGTTATTATTTTCAAGTTTTTTGGTAATTTTTCTTTTAAACATATTTCGGCCTTTAATTTTAGCTTTTTTCTCTTCTTCGTCAAAATTTAATTAATATTAACTTTTACTTTATAATATTATTTTTCTTTATTAAACTTATTGTTCAAGTGATTGATATTAATAATCATCTCCATCACTAACCTCCTCATAATCCGATTTTTCTTCTTATTCTTCATCTTCACTACTTAAATCTTATTAGGGAGATTCATTTTCATCTTCATCATCATCAATAGAATTATTTTCTTTATCTTCTTCAACTTATTCTTCTTCTTCTAATTATTATTCTTCTAGTTTATTAAAGGAGTAATTTTCATCATCCAAAATTAACGAATCACCTTCAGATTAATTTTCGGTTTCAACGTTTCCGTGTTATGAAGTATGTATAGTAACATTATTAGAAATTTCATCATATTTTTTTTTCTTACTTTTATTTTTTTTGATTTTTTAAATTTGTCTAGTTAACTATTTTTTAAAAAAATTTGAATTTTTTAATCTTTTTCATCAATTTTTTATAAGTTTATATTTTTTTCATTATTATTTTATGCTTAATTAATATTAGATAGAACTTCGTTTTTTTAATCTAAATTAATTTAAATATTTTATTGTTATTCAATATCATCTAAAAATTTCTACATAATAATTTATTTATCTACTTCTTAATTTACATTCTATTTATTTATTAATGGCTTTATTATTTTATTAAACGATTCATATAATTATAATGCATTTAGACATTTTTCACCTACTTAATATTTTTATTATTTTATCATTTTTCTCATATAAACGTTTATTACTTTATGAATAATATTTATAGTTTTGTCGACATTTGTATTATTTATTTTCGGAATTAAATATTCATCAGACTTTTCCATAAACCATGCATGAATAATTCTAATATTAGTAAAGTTTTAAATATATTTATTCACTTTTTTATCTAATGTCATATATTTTGATCTTACTGCAAATCTTTGTTTATGTTTAAATTCTTTTATTATGCAAATGCTAAAAGGAATCACAAAAGGATATTTTTTCATCATATTAAGCATAAAACCGGGTGTTAAATGAACACCTTCAATAACTAAAGGCTGTTTATTATTAACATATTATTGTATTATCTAATTAATTTATTTTTAATAATAAAAATATAAAATAAAATACTTAATCTAACTTTTCTTAAACTAATTTACATTACTATTTATATCCTTAAATAACTTTCTTTTATTCTTTTACTGTTTGATCTTAAACAAAAGATCCGGCTTCATAAGTACTAGCAAAAAGAATTTAAAGTTATTTTTCATCCATGAAATTTCTCATAATATGCCTAATACTATCAGTACTTATGCAAGTAGGAATTTAAAATCGAGAGGCTAAAATACTTGAAACTGTAGACTTTCCAGTCCCTGAAGTTCCTCCTAATAAAATAATCAAAGGAAATTATCTTCTAAGTATTTATAGGCACATCTAGAAGTCTTATAAAAGCCTTTATTTACCATTTTCTCTTATATACTTATTTCTTAAAGCTAACTTATATATTGCATCTTGAAGGTCTTCATATTTTATTTATAATCCTTATATTTTAGGATTTTCTTTTCTACTTTTCATTTCTTCTTCTTTTATCTTATTACAAAACTTCATAACATCTTTAAATTTCAAACCCATTAATTATAATGTATATTTTATTACATCTAAATTTATTAACTTTATTGGTTTTTCTTATAAATAATAATTTTAATAATCATCTTTCTTTTGTAACTTATCATTTTCAGTATCTTAAATATTCACAAAACGTTCACAAGAATCAATATTTAATGGTGTTTCATTGTTTGAGGAATTAGAATCTTTAAATATTTTTTTGTTTACTTTTATAGTAACAGATAAGTTGGTTAATATGATTGTGAGTATTTCAAATAAATAGGAAGTTAATGATACAAAAGATCTTTTTATATATCCATAATATTCTTAATACTTTTTTTTGATTTATATTTTATTTATATTATTATAAAATCTGTATTTATAATTATAAAATATAATTTAATAATTAATTTTTTTTTTTTTTTTTTTTTTCCTTTTTATTTTTTATTATGTAAATAATTTATAAAATTAATAATATTAAGAATTGTGTATTAATATGTAAAAAAAGTAATATAATATAATAAAAACAAAAACAAAATATTTATAAAATATTAATTAGTTATACTAGTTTTTAATATATAAAAAATATATTACTAATATTTTATATTAAATAAAAAAACATATTAATTTTTGTGTAATAATATTATTTAAACAAAAAAAAATACCTATAGTTATTTCTTTAAATGTCCTAATTAGCAATATAATATATAATTGAAACTTTTTAACTTACCTTTTATAGTTTATTAAATTAATTCTTAATATTTTTTATATTATATATATATTTTTTATTTTTTTAAAAAAAAATTAAATTTTATTATAGCATATTTATATTTGTATTTTTTTAAAAAATTATAATTTAAAACATAAAATTATTTGTAATTTGTAATACATTAAGATTTAATTTAAAAAGTTATTATTAAATGAGTAAAATAAATATTAAATACGGTGATATTCTATTGATTAAATTATCCGATTCAGAGCATTTAATATATTCAGAAGGTTTTTAAAATTCTAAAGTTAAATTAAAAAGTTAAAATTGTGAACATAAATTTGAAATATAAGATTGTTTATTTTAAATTCAACCAAAATTATTTTTCGATAATTTATAAAAATGTGAAAAGGCATAACTAAAATAATTAGAAAAGGAAAAACTTATAGAAAACTATGAAGAAGAATATAAAATAAATAAATAATAAATATGTTAAAACTATCAAACAGATGTGTTTTATTCTTAAAATTTTCTTCTATAACATTTAAAATCACAAAAATATTTTACAATAAATCAAAATAACTTTAATAATCAAATTTTATCACCTTATCTTGAATATTATCCAGAAAACTAATATTCATTATGTTTTTAGCAATAAAATTAACATAAAGCAAATTAAGAAAATAAAGTTTTTTACGGAGATAAATTAGTATTTGCAATTTAAAATCAAATAAGCAATAAAAAATTCATTTAACAAATTATAGAAAACTAAAAAAAACTTATTTTTTTAGAAGAATTTTCATTTAAACAACTACTGTCATTTTAGTATGTAAATAATATAATATTTTAAACTTTTTTGTTTATTTAAAAAAGATTAATAAAATACGAAGATATATAAAGTGAAAATATAAAATCAGGAGATCTAGTAAAAATAATAAACTTAAGTACTAAAACTTATTTAAATCTAAATGAAGAAGAAAATTCTTCAGTTTAGGAATAAAATCTAATCAAAAATTAATAAAGTTAACCTTAATTTAATACAAGTTCAAGTGTTTTTTTAGATAATTTGTAGAATAATACTAACGATAAATAATTTAAATCTTAAAGTATTTAATAAAATATCTTTTTAAATGAAAAAAATTCTTAAATGTCTATTTGGATTATTGAAAATGCTTTAAATTTCTATGATTTTTAAATAAAATTTCGTACTGCTTTCTATATTAAAAGTTTCATGTAAAATAATTATTATATTTCGCATATATTTATTCTTTTTAATAAGAAATAATCAATATCTATCATTTGTTGAAAATCATAATGAAGACAATACATAATAATATGAAATATACTTCGGAAATAGATGCGATGATAGCGAGTTTATTTTTATTGATGAAAAAGAAATTGAGAATAATATAAATAATTAATAAGTAAAATACGGAGATTAGTTTTAAATAATCCATAAGAAATCAGGAAAAGCAATTAATATAAGCTATAATAACTAAGCTTTTTTATTTACAATATCCTTATAAGATAAAAATTAAAATAAAGAATATTTTAGAATAGAGAGAATAGAATTATAGGAATAATGGGATTATTTATTTCTGAAAAGTAGTTATATATTTATAAGAAATTTTTTCGTAAAATAACAAATATAAATAATGAATTCTTTAGAATAAATAAATAAAATTCTAAATTAAATATAGATATTTTTAAATTCTAAAAAGCAAATTTTATATGAAATTTTCAAATAAAATAAATCTATTTAAGAACGAAAAAAGAAATTATTTTTGTTTAAATTTTATTATCTTTTTTTAAACTTAATTATCATTTTTGAAAAAAAATCAAGTGCTTTAAATTTTTATTAATAATTTAAAACGAATTCTTAATTTTTGGAATCATAAACAGAGTTTTAAAATGTTGGAAAATGTATTATAAGTAATCTTGTTTAGAAAGAAATCAAAATTGATTTTTTAAAAGAAGATTCTGAAGAGGTTAATTTTTGTATTTTAAATAATTAAGAAATTAATTAAAATATTAATTCAATTTAAAATTATTCTTTTGATATATTATTCTTTATTTTTAATGAATTTCTTTTTACTCTATAAAATATTTATTTAATTACTTTTGCTATTATTTAAAATGTATTTCTATTTTTTCCTTTTTTTAAAAAAAATATAATATTTTTATTTAGATAGATATTTAATCAAATTAGTTAAAATTACTCAGTATTATTCTAAAAAAATATAATATTTTGAACTATAATCTAAAAGATATACAAAATAATAACTAATATTTATTTTTTTAAAAAGAAAAAGATGACTTTCTTTCTTTAATAATAAAGAAGTATTTGGTAAATACTTTAATTTTTATATAAAATTTAAACAAAAAATATTTTAAAAGGTAAAAGAATACGATTTATTAGTTAATATAAATTTAATATAATTTTTTATAGATATTATTTTATAAGAAGATTAAGATGATACCAATCCTTAAAATTAAATATTAATTGGTAAATTAATATTCTATAAGTTAACAAAAGAATAATTCCAAAAGATATTAATTTATCACAATTTAATTGATAATGGTGATAATAAGAATGATTTTCCGAAAATATATATATAATTAAAAGATTAAAATGATAAAAAAATGCCTAATGAAACATTTTAAAACTATTTAAATAATAATATATAATTAAATTTATAAAGTTTGGAAGATTTTTTATAAGATAAAAAAGGATTAAATAAATAATATTTAAATATATTTATGCTTTAAATAAATTTATATTCTATTTTATGCTAAAATTAAATTTATTTTAATATTATAATATTAAGATAATATTTTCCATAATCTACTTTATTTACTATAATCTAAAATCCTAAGATTCCATATAAATTTCGTTCTTTATTTCTTTAATTATATTAGAATCTATATATAAATTGCATTCCTTATGTATCTAAAGCAGCTCACATATCTAAATTAAGAATTTAAGAAGAGCTAAAAAATTAATGCGAATATAATAAACTAGAAACTCTAAACGAAAAAAAAGAAGAAAACTTTAATACAATAATACCTTCATTTGAAGATCAAATAAATTTTCTTTAAAAAGAGGATTATTTTTAAAAATTGAATTAAAATAGAACCAAAAAAAATCCTCAAAAATTAAATGAAAAAAAACAAAGTATTGATTTATTTAAAGAAAAAAATTTTAAAAAATAAGAAAAAATAAAATAAAATAATATTTCTATATAAGCTTAATAGAAAAATAATAATATATATTCTTACATCTAAACTAATAATAATAATTTAATTTAAATTAATAATGAATAATAATCTTAAAATGATATCCTATTATAAAAAAAAACTGTAACTTCATTAGTTTCTTACTTAAAAAAAAGTTCTTCAATTATTTCTAATGCTTCTTCTTCAGTATAAAATAATACTCATTCTCTTTAAAATTGTATTATATCTCTTTAAAATATATAAAATTCTAACTAAAAAATTAGTTTTATAGAGAATTTAAGTTATATAAGTTAATATACAGAATTTAATTTCGATAATAATTTATCTTCAATAAAATAGTTTGTTTTAGAGACTATTTAAAAATCGAAAAGTTAACAAAATAATTTTTTAAGTGAAGATTTTTGTATTTTCTTCACTCAAATATTAACTACTTTTAAGTGTTTATTAACAAGAAATATTATAAACAAAAAAGAAATAAATTAATAGACAAGAAACATTTTTTTTTAGTTTTTTAATGAAAAAAACCCTGTTTTTTAACAGAAATAAATAGTAAATATATTTTTTGTTTTTGTTTTATAAAGCAAAATATATATAAAAGGAGAATATAAAAATCGAAATAATGAAAATAAAATAACTAAAAAAAGAAATCACATATGAAGAAAAAATAAATAATTTTTTATTTCATTTAGAAATCATAAAAAAATAAACAAATAGCGAACAAATTTTATCTTAGTAAATAAACTCGTTTTCATTATAAAATTTTCATTATCAAAAATAAAATAAATTAGTTTAATTATTATCTAATTTTCCTTATAAAAACTAAAATTTAAATACTCATATTTTAAAATATTTATTTTCTCTAATTTTTTAACATTATAATTTAATGAGATTATCATCGAAAATAATATATTTATAAAATTAAAAAGATGTTCAAATTATTCAAAGAATTGAATTATTTGTAAATTAGATTAAATAAAATATAGAAATTTAAATGTTGTAGTATTTTATAAATAATATATATTAATTGAAGTAAATATTAGCAAATTTTTGTAACTAAATGATTATTTTAAATGATTTTATGGAAAATAATGAAGGTAAATAGTTAAATTTAATACAAAATATGTTTTCTCAATTTTAATTTGAAGAAGAGATTTTAAATTTGTTAAAAATAAACTTTGAATTTATTTAAAAAAAATAGTTTAAATAATATTTTAAGAATTTTTTTAAAAATTTATTCTAATTTCTTTCTCTTTTTATAAAATAAAATAAAAGAAATTAAAAGAAAATAAAAAAAGGAAACTTTTTCTTTTTTTCTTCTTTTTTAAACTTTTATGATTGTGGTTAAACAAACCTCTATTTGGATCTTTTTTATAACTCTAAAAAAAAAGTAGGTTTTTTCTTGTATAATCTACTTAGTTCTATTTAAAAAACAAATAAATAGCCTTCTCTTATAATTTAACTTACATATAATTTCTAAGAAAATTTATAAAAATAATTTATTAATAATATTTTTTATAATAAAAATATTTTCCTTTATTTTGGTATTAATTAAACTTAATATATAAATAGAACACAGCCTCAAAGTAATTTTTTAATTTGAAATTTTTCGTTTTGTTTAATTTTTTAAATAGTTTCAAATACAAAATTAAATGATTATTTTACTTTTGAATTTGAAAATGAAAAAAATGAAGTATTTATAAAAAAATAAAATATTATTTATTTATTTTTGTTCAAAAAGAATTCTTTCTTATTTAAAATATGTGCTATGTATTCATTTCGTAAATTTCTAGAAGTTTAAAAAAAGAAAGAAAAGATTCGCGAAATATTTAGGGTTTTTTTTCTTTGAATTATTTATTCCTTTTATTAAGTAAAGGGGATTAATTTTATGAAACATAAACGTAAGAAGATTTTCTATATTTTCTTTTCAAAATAGAACTAATAAAAAACATAAACGTAACATTTTTTTATTGTTCAAGTCTTTAATAATTTCCGAAAACCTAAAATTATAATAATCTACTTATTTTTATTTAAAATCAATCGAAATTTCTAAAAAACTTTCATACTTCTTAAATATATAAAATAGATAATTATTTACTTTAAATAAGATAAAAAAATATTATTTTCAAAAATAAAAAAATAGCTCATTATTTATAATATTTTCTTAATACTTATTATAAAATAAATAGTAATCTTTATTTTTAAGATAGTTTTGGATTAATAAGTTATATTTTTTAAATATTAATACCGTTTTTAGAAAATATTCAAATTGCTTTTGCTAATAAATGGAAAGAATGTTAATAAGAACTTTAAATTTTTAAAGAAAACTTTTAAAATTTTTACTACTAATAGTTAAATTAATAGATTTAAAAAGAAGTATTAATTTAGTTTTCATTTAATATGGCCTAATGCTAATATTTTTGCTAGTTTTTGAAAAAAAGTATTTTTAAAAATATATAAAAGCCCCTTTTTAAAAAAAAACATTGCGGTTAGAAAAGAAACAGTATAGAATTAAAAAATCAAGAAAATTTTATCATTAAACATATTTAGAAAAATAATAATATTCATATTTTATAAAATGAATTTATAATACATAAAATTATCTGTTTTTGGTAAAATTTTGATAAAAAAATATCCAATAAAAAATACCTTAAAAAATTACTAAAAAAAACGCTTGAAATACTTTAGGCTTAAAAAAATGAAGGTTTTATATAAAAAATTGATTATAATTCATTAATTTAAATAATTTAAAATAAAAACCTTTTAAAATATGATAATTTTTATTTACTTTTTATTTCTTTCTTATCTAAATAATCTTAATTAATTTGTTTATAAGGATTAGATTAAATTTTTTATAAAAAAATAAACTTAATTTTCTAAAAAGAAATTATAAAAGAAATAAAAAATAATGATTTTTAAATAAATTAGATTTTTGATAAAACTTTGAGCTTTTTATTTAAAATTGATTACTAAGAAATTTTTCTCAAAAAGTCTTTGAAATTATTAAATTTATAGATAAAAAATGCTATAAATAATACGATTTAGATCTGTATATTTTCACAAAAAAAGAAAAATATTTTTTTTGAGAAAAACTATTTATAAAAACTTGAAAAGACTTTAAATTATATAAACTTTTTTTAATATAAAAATAGTAAAATTATCCTCAATTCTTAGTTTTTGGAAAATACTAAAAATATGTTTACCTTACTTAATACGTTTTTTGAAAAAAGCCCTCAAATAAATAATTTATATATACTTTTCTTATCTGTTATTGAAAATTTAATTTAAAAAAATTAATTAGCTTGTTTATAAATTTTATAAAGAATTAACTTTTAATAAAATCTTATATAGTTGTATAATAATAAGGACTTGTAAGCTGCTTTTTCTTTATTTTTTCTAATTAAAAATACTAATCTATAAAATAGTATTTTATATTAATCGTAAAATTATATAGAAGCATATTAATATTTTGAAAAGAACTCATCTTAAATTGAAATTATAAATCAAAATAATTTTATAATTAAAATTTCATTTCAAAAATTACCATATTTTGACTATATTTTTGAAAAGAAATTATATGCAATTTAAAAAGCTATTTTATCTTAAAAAGATATGAAATAAACACATTAAAAAATCTTAAAAATATCTAAAAATATTCAAAAACTTTATTTTTTTTAATAATTTTCAATTCTAAAACTTTAATAATTATAACTATTTAATTTATTCACTATATTTAATAAATATAAGTCTATTATAGCTTAATCTAACTTTTATTTGGCATTAATTTAGGTCATTTATTTATTAAATTTTAACTAAGAATTCTTTAATAATAATGCTTTAAATGATTAAGTTTAAATTACTTTATTATCTATTTAATTTTTTTTTACAATAATTTTATAAGCTTTACACTTATTTTTTGTAGAAGATATTATTTTATTAATTTTTTGTTTAAATAAATTTTAATTTTATTGAATTATGTTAGTATTCTTGGTTCTATTTTTTATAACTAATTTTTTATAAGCCTATAATTATGTCAAGTATTATTTGTTTTTGAAAGAAATTTTCTAATTTTGGAAGTCTTATGGAAATCTAAATATGATATATTTTAAATTTTATTGCTTTAGTTAGTTCTTATATGTTTCTTTTCTTTTGCAAATTTATTTTTAAATATATCATTTGAAAATTCTTGTTAAAATGAAACTTTCTTATTTTGCTTTTTATAAGTTTTATAATCTTTTTTATATTAATAAAATCTTTTTTAATGTATTATATATAATATAATATATTTAATAACTTATCAAGTGTTTTTGTTTTTTAAAAAAAAAAAGTTGATAATAAAGAATAATCCTAGATATTTATAAATATTACCTTTTATTTTTTCGTAATTTAGATTATATAGACATGGAGTTTTATATGTAAAATAAATATAAATAATATATTTATATTAATAAATAATAATAATATTAAGCTTTGTTTATAGAATAATTCAAAGAATTAAAAAAATAAAAATAAAAAGTTAATTATTATCTATAAAACTAATGCTTTATTTGTGGTATTACCAAAAATGAGCATAATCAAATTAATAATTATGATTTCGAATACCATATAAATGTAAAATTTAATTTCATATATATATTAAAAAAATATTATTTTAAAAAATAGAATCTACATAATTTAATAAATTATATTTAATACATTTAATATTTGCAAAATATTCCAGTTTAAAATTTAGCTAAAAATGATTTTGAAGTTTAAAATTGCATAAAATCTAAAAATACAAATTGGTTTCCAATTCACAAAAAATTATGAAAAATAAATTATATATTTTTTTTATTATTTCATATTTATTAAAAAAAAAAAAATCAAATTCAAAATTAGTTTAATTTTTCAATTTTATCATCTATATCTTACTAAAGATAGGATTTTGCATTTTCATAGGCTAAAAATCCGATTGCATTTGCATAAAAAGCTCTTGTTAAACAAGCACTAAATCCTCTCCAAAATCCAAAGAATCCTTCATTTTACCAAATTTATTTACCAACTCTTGAAAATCCTCCATCTAGTTCTTATATTTTCCCAGTTTCACATTATAAGGTTGTTTTTATAATATCTTATGGATAAGAAGCAACCCATCCCATAATCCCGCCAAATCCTCCCCCTATAAATGTTTACAAATGTGTAATATCTTTTCCTTCATTAATATATTTAATACAAATGCCTTTAAAGAATTCATAACTTGCAAATTAAGCACCATAACAAGGTATTTCTCTAAACTAAGTAGCAACTGTGCCTCTATAAATACCTTTTATTCCTTCTTTTTTATATATTTTATAAAACAATTCGAAGGGTCCTTTATGAATTTTCTAAATTTAATAAAAATAAAATAAATTAAAATAACATTAATAATTTAATTTAAATATATTTTTATAAAAAAAAATAATAAGATAAAAGGAGATTAGGGAATTTATGCGTTTATTTAAATATATAGATTTTTTAAAAAAATCGCATTACTATTTTAAACAAATAATAAATAAATATATTATATAACCTCATTTTTCTACATTTGTAAACGACATTTAGCCAATTCAATCGGACCAATTAAAATACAATTTGCAAACCCTGTGAAAAATCCAGCAAATAAGCCATTAAGAAAAGTAAATTTATCTTCATTTTCTACATGCATTAATTTCTTATATAATTCATAAGAACCAAAAACAAAAGCATTTACTAAAGGAACAGTAACTAAAGGTGACTCCATCCCTTTGTAATATGAAAATAATCCTTCTTATTTATACATACTGATAATACATTTTGAAAATGTTTAATTTTTTTCCATTTATAAACGCACTTTTATAGTATCAAAAGGATGTCCACTTAGACAAATTGCTAATCCTGCAACTGAACCTGCTGTTAAGTCTTTTATTATGGACATTACATGTGAATTCATTTGAAGTGAATCGTTTTGGAGGGAATTCTTTTGAAGTAAATCATTTTAAAATTAATCTTTTTAAAGCTAATCCATTTATTTTTTAATAATATATATAGAATATATTTATTTTTTTTAATATAGAAAATTTAATAATTGGCTTTAATTATAAAATTTTCCAATAATGATTATAATAATTGAGATATTTAATAAAAATTAATCATTGAAAATACAGAATTTTTATTTTAAAACAAAAAATTTTTAATATTTAAAAATAAATATTTTTAATAAATACTGACTATACTAAAACATTTTTTTTTTAATCTGTTTATTGTTTATTTTTGTTAGAAATTCATATTATGAAGTTGAATTTAGTTAATTATAAAATTATTTGTATTTAGAAAAAAAGAAAAGAAAAAAATATTAAATTTAAAATCAATTATAAAATTACATTTATAGATATTAGATTAATGTTTTGAAATTTTTAATAAAAAAATAAATTTTCTAATTTAAATTATATTTGATATTATTTTTATTAAAAAAAAAAAGACAAAACAAAAAGTTAATTTTTTTTTTTTTATTTTATAAAAAACAAAAATATTTTTTTAAATATCTATAACTAAATTTATTTCAACATTTTTTATTATAAATATACATAAAATATAAGAAATAAAAAATATTAATATATATATTTTATATATATTAATAAATTAATAACCTTAAACTAAAAAGTAAATAGTTTTTTAAATTAGTCATATTTCAAAAAATCTGCTTTGATTAAAACTATTTTCACTTTCATCTATAATATCTTAAAATGTACTTATTACAGATTCTCGTAATTAATTAATATTTCTTGGTTCAGTTTCATTAGAGTCGAATCTATTGTTTCTATAGGCTTAAACTATCGTCTATATTGCTCTTCTTTAAACTATATTTTATAGACCTCTCATACTTTCACTTAATTCATTATTTTCACTTCCGATACTATTGTTAGGACTTTAAATATTAGTTTAAATCTAAGATTCATTACCTTCTGGAAAATAAAATATTTCTTTATCAACTGCAAGTTAGTAAAGCTCATTTAAAATTTTAGTAAAGTCTTATAAATATTTATTATTTGAAACATATTTTAATTATTTCCTAATGTCAAGCAATAATATTTTATCTGGTCTGTTTTGTAATAGTATTATATCCAAAACCCTTATTAAATATTATTTCAAGGTTTATCTAATTTACAAAAAGTTAATTCTTTATTAATATATCTCCAATATATTTTTTTGTCTATCTTTTTAATTTAGCTTTTTTTCACTAAATTGTTTTTTTTTATCTTCTAATTATTATTTATCTAACGTTTTGTATCCCATTTTTTTTTTTTAATTTTTGTGAAAAGATAATAAAAAAAAATTATATAATAATATAAATAAAAAGTTGTGATAAAATAAATAATATACTATTAAATTCTAACTTAATGAAATTAATTTTTTTTTTTTTTTTTTTTGTAGTTTATTTATATTTCTTTATTTAAAGAATTAATTATAAAAATTAAAATTATTATATATAAATTAATAGAAATTAAAATAGTAAATTAATCACATAATCAAGCAAGAAGTTAATTCTATAGATTAAAATTAATTAATTTATTAATATATTATCTAGTTTATTCATAAACTATAAAAGTAATAGCATTTGCAGGTAATATTCTTAACATATCGACTTTTAAGCCTATATAAAATCCTTTCATTCCTTCATTTTAATATATTTTAGAAATAATATTATTAACTTTTAATCTGTTTGCAGTAAATTCTTTATAACTATCCCTATTATCCTACATTCTGGTTCTAATTACAATATGTGGATAAGTGATGCAACAAGCAATAGCTAATATATATATATATATATATATATATATATATATATATATATATGTATATATATATATATATATATAATTCTTTTATATATTAAAAAATATATTTACTTTTTGAACTAACAGAAGCTAAAAAAATATCAAAAAAATTCAACTATTAACAATTTTTTTATGTTTAAATTAACTATTTTATATATTCATATATAGGAAAGTAAACTGCAACGTGTGATAATCCAATTATGGAAGCTCCCAATCCTTTATATAATGCAAAAATACCTTCCTTTATTGATTATTTTAAACTTAAAAACAAAAATAATTAATAATACTTCATTTTTTATTTTAATTAGTGTATTTAATACTCCTTTATTATAATGATTTTGGTTTTAATGCATATATTGTACTTAAATTCTTGTTTTTACTACCTTTTTTATTTTTTTAATAAAAATATAGTTTTTTTAAATTTATATACCCATAACGGATTAGTAATTATATCGCATATCAATCCAGAAATAATTGAAGATACGAGATGTTATAAAGCTAAATTTTAATTGCCATAAATTTAATTAATCTATGATTTTAAATAATTATAGCTTGTAAAAAATAAAGAATGAAATAGTGGAACACTAACAATGGTGGCATTATAACCTATTTTAAAAAAAATTTTATTTATTTTTTTCTATTAAATTAATTATAAAGACCTTTAAAAAATCCTTTTAGTCCTTCTAATTTTTTTATTTTTTTAAATGCATCAATAAACCCTGTATACTTTATTTTTGAATTTTCTGAATTCTTTTTTTTTTATTTAAAAAATTATTATTATTTTATAAAATACCATCATGTTTAGTCTAGTCCTTATAATGTCTAAAGGAGCACATGCTGTTACTGATATAACACCACCGGTTAATCCTGAAAAAAAATCAATTATTATTTATTAAAATTCAATATTTTAATTATAATTCATTTTTGTTTCGTCTCTTTTGATAGTTTTTTTTATTTTTTATTAAAAAATTAATATTTTTATTGATTGAACGTTTATTTTAATTTATATAGCATCAAAAAATAAGTTAATATAATAAAGTATGGGATATATTTTAATAAACAACACTTTTTTGAAAAATTAACATTTAGTCTATTATTAAAATATATGAAATTTTAAAATTATATTTATATATATAATAATTTTAGTTTATATTTTGAATATAATTATAAATACTTTTTATTTATAAATATTTTTCATTAATCATCTTATGAATAATATTAAAATAAATCGCCTAAAGTTATAAGATTTTATATTTATTTTGTTTATTAATTTATAGAAATTAATCTATTTCCATAGGCTAAAAATAAATTTTCTACAATTCTTCTTACACAATCGTTTAAATTAAAAAATTCACTAACATTTAAGCTAGTCAATTTAATTTTTTCTTTTTCTTCTTTTAAAAATTAAAGGAATTAATAAATTGGTTTTCCAAGCTAAAATATAAATAATTATAATAATATTAAAATTTAAATATATTAATTATAATATGAATCTTCGAATAGATTTTTAAATATATATTAATAGTTATTATATATTATTTTTAAATATTTTTAGAAATTTTTTAATTTTGATTATTATAATTAAAACAAAATAAATTATATTTTAAAATTAATGATAAAAATTTAAAATTACACATGAAATCTATTCGAAGATTCATTAATTATATATAATATTTATTTTTAATTTATATAAATAATATATTAATTAATAATTATAAAATAAATAAATTACAATTTAAAAATTTTATGTTTTCCAAATAAAAATTATATCTCTTCTATGAATAAGCCCTATATAAGTTTTATTATTATCTACAATAGGTACAGATGATATTTTCCATTTATTCATCATTAAATCAAAACAATTATAAACTATATCATTTGAATTACATGTCAGAATATTTTATTAAATTTTAATTTAACTTAAAACGAATGAAATCGGAATATCATATTAATTGCTATCTAAACTATCTGTATTGAAATCCTGAGTTAAGTTACGTATTAAATACAATAAAATATCTTTATAGGTTAAAATTCCAATAACTAATTAACTTTCATCATCAATAACTATTATTCTATGAATTTTATTATTATTCATTTTATTACATGCAGTTTATAATTTCTCATTTATACTTACTACAATTAAATTCTTACTCTCAAACAACTAGATTTAATAAATATATATTTTATAAATAATTTATGAGGATAATTAAATACATATTAATTTAAAATCCTAAACCATCCTCTAACTGTTAAATTCTGCAAATCTTTCAAAAAATGTTTTTTTTATTATGCCTCAAATACATAATTTTCAGCACAAAATAGTTATTCATTAGTTTACTATTATTAAGAATTTATAAGCATATTCGCATCCATATTTTGTTACACTATAAATTAATCTTGTATTTACTAGTCATGAATTGAATTGCTTTTATTTTTGATTGGTAAAATATCATTCTCATCAATAATCTCTTAAAATAAAAAAGTAAATTAAAATTTAAATTAAAATAAATATACATTCTTCATCTTGGAAAATCTAAAATTCTTAAATTTTATTTAGTCCTTCGATTTTTGTTTGACTTTCGCTTACTATTATATAAATTTATATCAACAAAAATAATAAAAAATTTAAAATATATGTATTATAAATATTAAAATTATATATTATATATATATTTGAATAAAACTCTATCTAAATATATTTTTAGTTTAAAAGAATATTATATAATAATAATAATTTTCATTATTTAATATTCTTTAAAATTTTGATTAAATTTATCTTAATTTAATATTTTTAATATAAGAAATTTTATTAACATGGTATTTGATCTAAAGCAGCATTTTTATAGCTTTTTAGTATAATATTTACAATATCTGAGTATGTAATAATTCCATCAAATTATGCAGTGTCTTAATTCCATATTATGGCTTCCCCAAAATCATTTTTAATAATTAAATTTAAAGCTTCTGCACAAGAAAATTTTTTATCAATTACAACTACCTATTTTAATTTTTTTAATTTACGCATATTGTCTTAACTAAATTTTAATATAATTATTTAATGCAAATTTTATTTTATTTTTCTAATAATCAATTTTTTTTTAAATACTTATGAGTTTTTAGGCAGACAATCATATACTTTATTTTCAAATAAAAATGCATGAATCGAACTTTTATAATTTTCCTTTTGTATTTAAAATAAATCTTTTTATACATTTTATTATCATTTATATATAAAAAAATAATGTTTTTATTAATAAAGTTCATTATACATTATATATTTCTTCTCTGCTTTAAATTCTACGAAAATTCTTTTATTCCATATAAATTATAAAAAATAAATTAATATTTAAAAAAAAAAAAAATATAAAGGAAAAAAAAAAGTAAATTTAATGTCTTATAATAATATGTCAAAATTTAAATTAATTGATATATATAATATATATTATTATTTTTTAGATAAAATCTTATCTTTTAATATTGTTTAAACATATATATATATATATATATATATATATAAAAAATATTAACTTTACTTAAAATATTAATAAAAGACTTAGCTAAAAACTATATTAATCCTTATATATTCATTATTAAATTTTAGTGTAAAATTTTCTCATATATAGTTTAAAAAATAAATATATATATATTTTATTTTATTTTAATCTCTAATGATTTTATATTTTTTTAGGTTTATTTATTATAAAAAAATCTTTTTTATATAAATTTTTAAGACATTAAATATTATAATATAATTTATTAATAAACTAAATATTTTTTATTTTTCTAATCTTTAATTTCAGCATTTACAATATCTTAAATCATCTTCCTTTTCGTTATTATTTTTATTATTCTTTATTAATTTTAAATTTTCATCATTTATTTCATTTTAATAACTAACAAAATTTTTTTTCCCAATTTTTATTCCAATACTCTTATAGAAAATAAAAATTATATTTATAATATAAATAAATAAAACTTAGTTTGAAAAATCAAATGTTTCAATTTTTTCCAATATTTCTTATCCTATATATATAAATATTTCATTAATATTTTAACCATTTTTAGCCGAGCACTCCATATAATTACAATTTTATTATTAAGCGAATTCTTAAGCTTAATTAAAACTCACTTCTCTCCTATATAATTATTATAATATAAATTTAAAAATTTATAGTTATTTTAGTGTAATGTTTACTAGTTTTATCCTATATCAATTTTATTTCCTACTATAGTCAATATTGTATTTTATTGAGCTTATTCTTTTATATCTTTCAGCCATCTTCCTAAATTATCAAATGAAGATTTTTTATTTACATCAAAAACTAAAATAACTCCTATTGAACTTATTTTTGTTTAAATATATTTTTAATGTGATTTAAAAAAATAATATATATATATATAAAATATATGTATTAATTAAAACCCCTTATAATATGATTTAGTAATTGATCTAAACGATTCTTGTCCAGCCTTATTTTTATTCAAATAATAATATTATTATTTAAATGTTTAAAAGTACAAATTATAAATTTTTACTGTGTCCCAAATTTAGAATCTTATAGTTTACTTATTAATTTCTAGTGTTTTAGAACCAAATTCGACACCTATAGTTGCATCATGGTCAGAAACATATCTTTCTTCAGAAAATTTAAGTAAAATACATGATTTACCAACTCCTTTCAGAAAATATTTTATTTTTTATTATGACAATATATAATATATATTTTAAAGAAACATTAATAATATAATTTTTTGAATTAATTAAAAATAACCTGTATCTCCTACTAAAATAAACTTAAACAAATAATGATATGAATTCATATTACTGTAATTAATTATTTAATTTTATAATATTTTGGTTTTTTTTTTTAAATTAAAATAAATATTTATATTTTCTGGTGTTTTTTAATTTTTTACTGAATTTTTTTTGAAAAAAAATTCATAAAAACAAAAATAAAAGGCAGTTCTTCATTTTTTATAGTCAAGTTTTAAAGAAAAATAAAACAAAAAAAAGGAGAAGAGAGTATTAATATGAAATTATTTATTTATTTAAATATATAATAATAATAGTATTTGTTTTAATTTTTTTTATTAATAAAAGATATTAAAAATATGGAGTTGATAATAAAAAAATTAAAAAGATTATAAAAAATATTTTAATTTAAAAAAAAAAGAAGATATAGATTTTATTTAAAAATCTTTTATTTTTAGAAAGGATAATGTATTTCATATTTAAATATATACAATTCAATTTATTTAAAATTAAGAATTTAATATATAAAATTTAAATAAGATTTCAACAATTTTATTAAATTTAGAATAAAAAGGATTAATTTATAGATATAAATTATAAATAAATATATTCGATTCTAATTTAGCTTATTAGAATCATTAGGATATAAAATAGTTTCTTATGTAAATTAAGAATATTATTTATATATAATATAAAACAATTTTCCTTAAATTATTTTAAGTAGCAAATAAAGATTAAATTAAAGAAAACAAATATTTCAAATCAAACTTTTAAATTAATTAAAGATGAAAACTTGATTTCAGGTATTATTGAATATCACTTGTTCATATTTTTTTGTTATTTATTCTTTTTAAAAAACTCTATCAAAAAATAAAATGCTATTATCGATTTTTTTTCGACTTTTTATTTTGTTGATTGAACTTTAAAACTTAAAAATATATAAAAAATATATGTAAAAATATTATTTTTATTTAAAATTAAATATGAATTCGTTAAAATTATAAACACTTTTATTTATATAATTTTTTTTAGTTATTAAGTAAATAGATTGAATAATTATTATCATTTATTTTCCATTTATAATTCTTGAATGGTGAAAAGAGAAAAATTGAATATCTTATACTAATAAAACAATTCAAGGAGTTAATTTACTTATATATTTTATTAAATTATAGATAAGTCTATTTTTGACAAAAATATATTGCTAATAAAGTATTTAATAATATAGTAATTTAGAGGAAACAATTGATATAACTTCATTTAAACTATTAAATTAAAAAAATTATTAAGTATAATGATATATATTTTATTTAATATTATTAATTATAATTTTTTTTAAATAAATATAAAAATAAGCAAGTTATAGTTATTTTTTTATTAATATATAAAAAATAGAGACAGTCATAAATCAGTTTTCGATTTTACAATAATATAAGTTTTTTAAAAAGTATGTTTAATCCCTTTTTGAAATTTTATAGCTATATTATGATAAATTTTAAAAAGAATAAAATAAAAAAATTATTATTAGTATATATTAAAATAATAATTAATGTTTATATTAAATTGGTTTAAAAAATAACAAGATTGAAAATAACTTTTAGTAATATATACAAAAGAACTAAAATCATGTACATCCATATATAAATACAAAAAAATCTATTAATCATAATAAATAATTTACTAGTTAAAGTAAATTATAAAATAAAAAATTAGAACCAATTACCATTATAAAATAAAGAAAATTATTATTTTAACGAAAAAAGAATGCTTAAAAAGATAAATTTGTTGTAAAAATCATATTAAAAATTTTGTTTTAATCGCATTAACAAAAACTTTTAATTTAATTAGCAAAATATTTTAATTTTTAAATTTTAAATATAGTTTTTGAAAATCATTTAAAATTTTAAATTTCAACTAAATTCCGCAAAATTTTATTAAATTTCTTTCTCTTTCTAATATATAAAAAAAAATACATAAAAAACAATTACGTATAAGCAAAATATTTCTAAAAAATATAAAAAATTATTATTATTAAATATCCGATAAAAAAAGTAATTTAGATAATTATAAATATACTATGAATAACTTATAATTATTAAAAAAATATTGCTCCTATTATTAATTGCAAATAAATAATTAAAATATAAATAATATATTTCGGTATTTATAAAAGAGAAATTAAAAATAAATATATTTTATAAGATTGTAAAAATATAATAATATTATTTATAATATATATTTTAAAGTAGTTATTAAAAAGTTATATTTAAATTTATTTTACTTTAAAAATAATATATATTATTAAACTTTCTTATAAAATAATATTTAATATATCCTTAGATTTTAAAATATATAATTTTATTATCGTATATATCATAATTTACTATTATAAGAGTGTATTTTTTTTAACTTAAAAAGTTAAATTATAATGACAATATTAAAAATTATTTGAATTTGTAAATAAAAGTTTTTGAATTAAATCACCATATATAATATTTAACATTTGATAAATGTAAATTATCTTAATTTTAACAAAAAGATTATAAATTCTAAATTTAATATATTGATTTTATTTATTTAAATTTATTAAATACTTTCATTTATATTATTAATATTATTTTTTCTGTAATTGTTTTGTTATTATTTAAATATAAATTCTACTTGAGCTTAAATATTTTTTTACTTTAAAAATACTAATTGCAAATTAAGTTTAAAAAATCCATATAATATTTGATTTTAGTTAAAATTTCATTTAATTAAATCAATAAATTTGATATAATTCAACTATATATTTATTTTTGTTAATTATTTGTTAATAATAAGTAAAAAGAAAAAGAAAAAAATGTAAAATATTAACTTAAAAGCAATAAAAAATGAAATTATAAATATAAAATAATATCTTTCTGAATCAAAATAAAAATGGGTTAATCCTTAATCTGAATATTTATATAATCAAAATGATTATATGGAAGATATATATCCATAAATTAATGAAATAGGTGATTAAGAAATAAATTTTATAATTAATTAAATAAAAAATGATATATTTATTAAAAAAGCAAGAGAAAAGCGTTCAATCTCTTATGAAAACCCTCCTAAAAATAAAAAATGCAAAGAAATTTAATACATAATAAATCATAAAAATAAAAATATTTCTTAATTTCCTTAATATATGTAAAATATAAGCGAAAAGTGGTTATAAATATTAGACTTTTCTAATAATAAATTTAGAGAAATTCCTTAAGAAATAACTAAATTCACTTGCTTGAAAAAATTGAATTTCGATAATAATTTTATAAAGGAATTACCTGAGTTTATTTTTACAGATTTATCTTTAATTTAATTCAGTATATAAAATAATTTAATAACTGAGATACCTTGTTAAATTTAAAAATGGTATTTTTTATAATATTTAGATATTTCTTAAAATAAAATAATTTAAATAGATCAATAAATAGGGAAATTAGTAAACTTAAATTAACTTTTTTTACAAAACAATGAATTTTGTTATTTACCATCATCCCTCCATTAATTAATTTTAGGAGGAAATTTGAAAGAATTAAAATTGGAATGGTTTAAATACACTTTTCCTGCATAAAAAGAACATTAATAAAATTTTCGCGAAAAAAGCTTAATAAATAAGTTAGGAGAAATTTTATTATAAAAAAAAAAAAAAGACGAAGATTTATATTTTTTCGGAGATTTTATTGAGGATTTTTCATAAATTAAAAATAAAGTTTTATTATAGTCTAAAATATATGAAGCAGCCGAAAATGAGCATTTAGGAGTTATTTAAGGAATTTTTTTAATTTATCCTTTAATTATTAACTAACTTAATGCTTAAAAACATTCACCTTTAAGCATTTCTATTCTTCACGAAAAATATTTTGCGGCTAAAAAACTACTTTCTTTAGGAGCAAATCCTAATATAGGCTATCCGATTGAAGGTTCAGCACTCAATATGGCTTCTATTAAAGGATAAATTTATCTAGTGGAGGATTTATTGAAGGCCGGAGCTAATTAAAATGCTTTCGATGAAGAAGGAAATACTGTTTTTCATTATTTAATGAGCATTTTTGATAAAAATAGACAGGTTTCGGGAAGAATTTGTGATTTATTACTTTAGAATGGAGCTAATCCTAATAGATAGAATTTCGAAGGGTTAACTTCACTTCATTTAGCAGTAAAAATGAAACAAATAGGCGCTATTTAATATGCAATTTAATACAATAAGTAGAATTAAGGATAAATAATATTCGATTTTAATTAAAAAAGTGGAGAATGGTAAAATAGTTTACTTCATTTGGCTTGTGAAAGTAACTAAGAGGAAATTTGTATAATTTTAGTTGAATAAGGAAGAGATTTGGTAGATTTTTTCGAATAAAATTATAAAAATGAAAGACCTTATTAAAGTTGTATAAAAGGAAGTTTTTTAAGCAAATACTTATGGAAAGTAGAATAAATTATAATTTAATAAAAATTAATTAATTCATATAAAATGAATAAAAAAAAAGCCTTTTTTTAAATGCTTCGAGTTCTTCTATTTGTTAGAATGATTTTGATGAAAATAATAGTATTAAGAATATTTAATAAAGTAATATAATATGTACTTTTAGAAAAGACTAATAATTTAAAAAAAAAATGAAAAAATTCTTAATAACTCTACTTCTATTTGTAATTTAAACTCTTTTAATTAAATTGAAGATAATATTTAGTTTTTTGTGAAATTCTTTTGTAAAAATATTAGTCATTTTTAGGAAAAAATTAAAAACTTGAACTCTTTTTTAAAGCTTTCTTATTTTTCTTTCCTTGATGATTAAAAAATCGTTTTTCTTAAACAAGTTAAATAGGCTTTTCTATTTATTTTAAATAATCTTAATGTATAATAATAGCCTTTAAGTATATTTCTTTAAGATGAATCTTTAATATAAAAAGTTAAGTTTTAACAAAAGAAAAAATAAAAAAATAAAAAATATAATAATCATCCTGTTATATAAATAATAAATAAAAATATACAAAAATTAAAGGTTAATATATTTTCAAAAAATAGATTCTAAAATATAAGTTTTTAAATTAAAGAAATTATGATAAATTCAATGCAAATTCGAAATTTATGGCAAAATTAAACAGAAGAATAATATTTCTTGATAAAAACATTAAATAATTAAGAAGAAAATATTATTTTATAATATGAATGCTTTAATTAATTAAATATGTTTAAAAGTCCTTATTTTTAGAGGAATCATTTAAAATAAAATAATCGTTCAAAATCTAATTAATGAATATATTTATTTATTTATTTTCAAAAATATATATTTTTTATTATTTTTTTATGTATTTATTCATCATAAACTTCATACTTTCCAGGTCCTATATTTCTGGGTACAGAAAATTTACTTTATGTTTGTTAATATGCTATTCTTTTTACTTTATCTAGTTTACTATGACTTACATTGAATGTTTTTTATAACATATCTCCTTATATGTCATAACTTCCAGGACCATTTTCGAAATTATTTTTAACTTAAAATCTTTAAGAATTAGATTAGAATTAAGCAGTAAATTTTTTTTATTTTATTAATTAATATTATATATTCCTTAGTGAATGATTGGCTTTTTTGTAACTTAAAATTAGTTTTGCTATTTTTCTTCTTTTGTTTAATTTATGTAAATAAGTATTTATTTATTTTTTTATCTTTTTTTATTTGTCTCATTAATATTATACTAACCTGGTCCTAAATTACTTTCACACATCTTATTATCAAAAAAACGGACATTTCCAGATCCAAAGGCATTCTAGAAATGCAATTTTGATTCTTAAAGGTTTTTTTTAGATGAAAAAAGTTCCTATTCTGAGTAAAAACCAGGACCAGGCATTGAATTTTCTTTAGCTTTTAAATTGAGAGTTTGATTTGGCGATTTATCGAAAGTATAAGCTTTATTTTTATCATTGTTTTATATATCATATGTCCCAGGACCAATATTTTCGTCATTTTAATTATTTTATAAAAAAAAACGAGGTTATTAAAAATCAAAAAATTAGTGATAAAATTATTTTTTTTGTATTTTTAAAGTAGAATTTTATTCTTGATTTTAAAAATAAGTTCCTACAGGAGGGTTTTCGGCTTTTTTTAATATTATTTTTTTATTTTTGAATCTAGAAAAAAAACTGGGACATTTTCTGTCAATATTAGTTTTTTACATTATATTATAGCTTACAAGGCATTTCTAATTTCTATGGTCTTTAGGGACTATAAACTCAAATTTCTAATCTTCTTATTTTTATTCTTTTCGGCCTGTAAGATTTATAATTGCTGACTATATTCTAGGCTTTATTTAATCGACTTTTTATTGATATGATTCTGGGCCTATAGGTTTATTAATACTAAATTACATTTACTTTGAATTTATAGGATAATTTAATTAATACTAATTGTATAAAGCATTATTATTAGCTGATTTAGGCTTATTATATTAGCTTTAACTTGACTAAATTTATCTTTATATATTATATTGGCCAGGACCAGGCCTTTCTATTTCCTATAGAATATTTTTAAAACGAATATCTTTGGAAAATGTTGTTTATTGATCTTATCCTCCATTATAAAAGTTAGTTTTTTTGAGAGTATGGGAATATTATTGGCTATTTCCTAAATAATGACCGGGTCCAGGGGCAAAATTATCTGATATGAATGAATTTTAATGGTTTGCTGTAGAAAATTTCATTTATTAATAAAAGATTTTTAAATTAACTAATAAAAATATTTTTGAATATTTTATTTTTTAAATAAATAAATAATTAGTTTTGTTTTTTTTTTTTAAAAAAAAAAAAAAAAAAAACCATAATTTATAACTTATTAATCAATTAATATTTTTTTTTAATATATTAAGTTAAAAATTTTAATACTTATTATTATTTTTAAGTAATAAAATGATATTATTTATTTATTATATTCTGAATTTAATTAAAGATTTTATAATTTCTACAAAAATATTAATTAAAAAAACTTTAAATAAGTATATTTTTAAATATAAATTAAGTTTAAAACGAAGTTCATAGTTTTAATTTTTATATCTTTTCGTAAAAACTTATTATTTAATATATTTTCACAATTAATACTTATTGTATTTTTATAACAAAAAATATGTATTTTTCGAATTAAGTGAAGTGAAAAATGCTAAAATATATTTTTTACTAAATAATACACAAAATTTTAGTTATAAGAATTAAAAAGTAACTAAAATTTATTTTATATTAAAATGTTTAAAAATTTATAATTTTATTTATATAATATTATTTGAACAAAAAAATATAGATAATTGACTATCAAAAAACTTTATTTTTATATTTCATATTAAAACATATTTTTATTGTTTCTTTTATATATATATATATTTTAAATTATTATTATTATTTATTTCATATTAATTTGCAAACTGAGCTTTTTTGCTTTATATATACTTAAGGTTTTTCTTCATTTTAGAATAATGTAAATATTTTTTCTTAATCTCTAACTAATTATCCTTTATGATATAAATTTAGTTTATCCACTATTAATTACTCATGGCGTAAAGTAATTAAAATTTTTAGATTATATATCGTATCGTTTCCATCAATATCTATAGAAAATGGTTATTTATCTATATTTTCATCTTAAAAGTAATTATCAAAAACTAAATAAACTATCATCTTTTCCAATATATATTTTATATTTGTAAAAAATTAAAAATATATATTTATTTATTTAATTTCTTTTTATGTTTTATTAATTATTTTATATTATATTTAATTTTATCAATAATAATTGTTAATAGTTTTGAATAAAAAAATAAAATATTTTTTTAATTTTTATTCTTTCTTAATATTCATAATATATATAAAGAAACCCCTAATACTGCTAAATTTTGTATAAAATTTTCATATTAAATATGGAAATTTCTAAAGTCAGAATAAGGGTTATTAATAATTAAACATCCAAAAATAATAATTAAATTAATTAAATATTTTCCTAATTTAAATCCAAATAAAATCAAAATACTTCCTAAGATTTCGACTGAGGCTATAAATTTAGTTATTCCTTCAATATTTTAATTAACGAAATTTTTTGATAAGCTATACTATAATATTTCATACATTTAAGTTGGTAAAATTATATTACTCAAATATGAGTTAAAAGCCTTAAAACTATTAGATTTGCTTAAATGTGTTAAAAATAAATTGTATTTAGATGCAAATTATTATTTATGTGATTCAGGAGATAGTATTGTATGAAGTCCTAAAATAAAAAATACTAAAGCAAATATAAATCTGGAAAAGTATATATATTTATTCTTATTTTTTTTTTTAAATTATTTTTTTATTATATTTTTAAATAGTTTTTTTAAAAAATAAATAAAAAATAAATCTAAAACAATTATTTATAAATTATTAATAAATAAAATCAATTTTTTATTTTGACTTTTTATTTTATAATTATTGTCTGATTTATTGTTTATAAGCCAATAAAAAGCTATAAATTATACTTTAAAAATTATTCTATTTTTTTATATTTATTTAATCAAAGTCTTAATAAGTACTTTTTAATAAATTTTTATTTCAAAATATATTATTTATATTTTTTACAAATTTTTTGTTTTAGAAATTCAATTTTTCTTATTTCTTAATTTTATTAATTTAATGTCTAAAATTATTAAAATGTGCTTCGAGAATTTTTTATAAATATTAGAAAATAATTATTTTATAGATTTTTACTAAGCTTAAAAATTTGAAAATTAATAATGTTATTGAATATTTTACATATCCATGTTTTATAATTAATAAATTTTACAACTTTATATATATTTAAAAGGTGCTTTGAAAAAACTAGAAACATTTAAATTAGAATTACTTAATAATTACAGATTTAATACTAAAAGGGTTTTATATATTTAGAGTATTCTATATATGTAACTAGAGTCCAAAAAATATATATAGTTTTTGATAGTTTAAGGGTTGTGAATAACAAAAATACTTTAGATTTTACGCATATATTTATATCAGATATTTGTATATGAAATAAATATATTTACTTTATTTGAAATATCTAAATTATTTATATTTGTTTAATAATTTTATCTAAATATATAATTTTTTTTTTTTATGATTCAATATATAACAATATAAAAAAAATAAAAAATTAGCAAATAAATAATTATTTTGTATTAAAAAATTTTTAATTTTATGATTTGTAAGTTAAAAAAGTTTTTGATTTTAAATTTAAAAGACAATAGGCAGTAAAAATAAAAAATTTATTGGTTTTATTAGTATTTTTATAAAAATATTAGTTTATTTAATTTATGAATAAAGTAGCTTTAATAAATTTAAAATATATATTTACTATATTTTTAATTAATATAAAAAAAAATTGAAAATATTTAATAAAATATATTTTTATATTATAAATTTTACTTATTTAATAAATAATATAAATATTAATATTTTTTCAAAAGATTTTAATTAAAATAAATTTAATTTTAAATTCAAGATAACTAATATTATTATACAAAAAAAAGAAAAAATATAATAAATAAAAATAAAAAATACATAATATTTTATAATAGTAAAAAAAAAAATATATATATGATAAAATTGATGACATATAAAATATATATTAAAATAAATTATGTTTACATATATATAAAAAAATAAAAATGAAATTTAATTATATATACATATGTTTATAAATAAATATATAAATATATATATATTAATATATATATATATATATAATAATAATAATATATTATATTCATAAATATTAAACTATATAATTAAATTTAAGTGAATTAATTAAATAATTTATAGATATCATAATATTATATTTTTTATTTTAAATAAGATGTTATAATTTTTTTTTACATATATGTATATTAATAAATGCAATAATTTTTTTATCTTTAGTTTCTAAATATATTATTATGTATTTATATCAATTCTCTTATTATTTAAAAAGTCTATAGTTCATTTTTTAAGCATATTTTTGAATTAATTTTTTCCGAATTTATAAGTTAAAACTCCAATCCCAATATAAAGAGACAATTCTGCTATCGATTTAATCTATTTTATTTACTTATATTTTAGACTTTCCCCGTCTATAAAAAAAACATCATTAAAACAATGTTTTCCATAAATTCCAGAAATTTCTTCATAAATTTCTTTGTCAGTAAAGCCTTTTCTCAACATTGTGTTCACGACCTATCTTTATTCTGTAGCTATAGGAGATTAAACATATTAAATTGAATTGGTCATTCCTTCACAATCAAGACATCTAATATTATTTTAAATTTATAGTTAACGTCTTCCTAAATTACTTGCTTCTTACTATAAATCATTTTTACTCATTTCTCTAATAATATATTTATTTATTTTTATATAAAATATTTTAAATATAATGTAATATTTTGTTTATCTTTTTAATTTGATAATAGTTAAAATGAATATTTTTTTATATAATAAATTAAATTATTAAATAAGATAATAAAAAAGTTTAAAAAATTTGTTTTTTTAATAGAAACAAAGTATTCCATATATATTTTAACACAATAATAATAATTAATATTTTATAAGATAAATAATCATAATTAAGGTATTAACTTTAATTAATTAATTATTGAATATTTTATTAACATTTTAAGCTTAGTCTATTTATTTTATATGAAAATAGTAATTATTAATTCTTATGTTTATTTATTATTAATTTACTAAAATTATTTTTATTTAAACTTAAATTAAATATATTTATTATTATATTTTAGGTTAAAATTTAATTACCAAATACAATAATTAAATTGGTTAAATATAAAAAATGAATAACAATCCGTTCGATGATGTTCAAGATCTTTTATAAGATTAAGATAAATAGATTTAAACATGTTCAGATATATAATAATTTTATATTTAAGAAAGTAATACAGAATATGGATAAATAACAAATAAATTAAATCCTGAAAATACTAAAGTTTTAAATATAGAAGATGAACTTTTAGAATTATTTACAGGAAAAAAAGAAGATTAAGACTAATAATGTTAAAGTATAATTATACAATAGAATTTAGATCAAGTAATTATGGGTTTATAAGAAAATACTGATTTAAAATTTTAAAATAGAGAAAGTTAAGAAATAATGCTATTTTCTTAAAAATGTTAATCTAAAATAAATAATAATATTAACATTGAATAAATAATTGAAGATGAAAAGAAGATTATAAAATTTAATAAAAGAGATTATTAATAAAATGATAAAGAAAAAGATGATTTTATTTAATTTTTATATGAAAAAGTTGAGTTTTTAAATAAGGAATACTTGAAAGAGTTTTTATTTGGAGAACAGAAAATTAATAAAAATAAAACATTTTTTAATTTTTTAAAGTTTTTTTCTTATGAAAATTTGGAATTGGAAGAGGCTTTTTCACTTTTTTATTCGAAATTTTATTTTCTTTTTTTTCCTGATTATAATAGTTTGTTTTTATAATTTTTTTCTGATTTTTATTTTAGTCAAAATTAATAACTTGCTTCTCAATTTTAAAATAAAATTAAAATTCTTTTCGAATAAAAAATTTAGTAAAAATAATGCTTTTAAAAAACTTTTATTTAAAATATATATTCATTATACTAAATAGCTGATTAAGAATAAAATTAAATTTAATAAAATGTCTTTTAATTTAAAAAAAGCTCGAATAATAAACACATAATTATATATTTAGTTGATAATAATAATAAAATTCTTTGGAAAAAAGCACATTAGGGGAGTTCGATATAATAAAATATATTAGAAGTGAAAAATATAAGTGATATATAGATAGATTTAAAAAATTTTCTGCATTTTACTTTTATATATAAGCAATCTTTTAATGGAAAGAATTAACTTTGTATAATAGCCGAAAACGAAAAAGAAAGAAATCAGTTTCTATAATAAATATATGTAAAAATAAAAGAAAACGTTAATGATTTACAAAGGAACTATATATAAGAAAATAATTTCTCTAATTCTTTAGTTTTTTAAGACATATAATATTGGGATTTTTAAAAATAAAAACCGCTTTTTTTAAAAGAGTATCTCAGTTTAAATAAAAATATAACATTAGAATATAAAAAAAGTTTAGATTCTTAATTTAAATTAATAAATTTTATTAAGAAAGGTCTTCCTTTTTGTTATAGAAAGAAATTTTATTAAATTTTAATAAAAAATAAGCTTACTATTAATGAAAATGAGTACTAAAAAATGGTTCAAAAATAAAGTTCTTAATCTTTTTTAGAAAACTCTTAATATTTTTAGGAAAGCTAATAGTTTTTTTTGTAAAATATTTAAAAAGACTTTAATGTTTTAGTATAAGTTTTTCCTTAATTTAATGAAGAAAAAAGAAAATAATAAATAATTAATATGCTTTTAATTTATTTTTAATTTTATAAAAATGGATAAGAGTATATAGAGGGAAGTGTATTTATTGCAGCTTTTTTTTGGATTGTTTTTGGTTAAAATTAATTTGAATATTTTAAATTTTTTGCGAATATTATTAATAAATTTTCATGGGATAGATAAGGAGAAAAATTAAATTAGATTTTTCTTTATTTTTTGGAAAAATAAAACAAATTTATTTTCTAAAAATTTAAAACTATAGGATTGTCTCCTTAGTTTTATTTAAAAAAATAATTATCAAGTTTATTTTCTTATATTTTTCCTTAGGAAAACATAATTTTCTAAATTTTAGATAATTTAATTTTGGAAGGAAAGAGATTTTTTATTAGAAATTCTCTTGCTTTAATTTAATTAAATTAAATATAATTAAAGTTCACTAATTTAGAATAAAGTCTTCTACTTTTAACATAAAAAGAATAATAAATTACAAATGCTTAATTTCTTTTTGATAATATTGAAAATATTTTTATCGAATTAAGTTATAATAATTTTATAAATAAAAAAAGAAGGCTTATTTCGAATAAATTTTATTATCATAAAATTGAATAAAACTATGGAATTATTTTTAATAAGATTTATTACTTTAATAAAAAAAATTATACTGAACTATAAAATGTATTTACTATTGCCAATTTAAAATAGAGAAAAAAAAAAGTAATTAGTTAAAGATATTGTTAAAAAATATATTTTAATTGATATAAAATTAATTATTTATATTTTTACACTATTCTTTATTATATTACTAATTTTGTTTATAATATATTTTCAAATTTCGCGTATTTTATTATCGAGAATAAATGTTTTTATATTCTATTTATAATTTTTAAAATAAATAATATAAAATTAATTAATATTATTTTTTATTTTATTTTGACTTTATTTTTAAATCGATAAATATCTATATAATTTATCTTTATAAAAAACTTTATATTATTTATTTATAATAATAAATTAAATAATAAAAATGAAATTAGGATGATACATTTTAATCAGTTTTAATAGTAAAATTTTTTGATAAAAAATATTTGTTTTATAAATTTAATGAAATATTATATCAATTAAAATTAATTTTAATATAAATATATTTTTGGAATTAATTTAATGATTATATAAATTAATTAATATACAAATTAAAAAAAAAAATGAAGTAATTAGTAAAGGAACTAACTTAAGTATTTAAAAAAAATAAAAAATATATATAATATAAATAAAATAGACTAGTAGCATAAAATTAAACAAAATAAAAATAATTTTAGAATCATTATCGAATTTCGAGAAAACAGACTTATATAATAATGTTTAAATTTTAGACTCAGAACAACAAATCTCAAATTTAAACTCTTCTTGTAAATTCAATAATATTTCATATATAACTCCTCATGGTGATATTTAAGGATATTTAATAGTAACGGATAAAATAATAACTTTTAATCCAGAAAGCTATGAAGAAACTCAATAAATAATATAAAAGAATAGTTAAAGCCAAAAAAGTTTACAACATGGAGATTTTACAGTCAGTATTGAAATTTTCGATATTTATTCTTTGAATTCATATGTAAAGGAATATGATAAAAATTAAGATTTTTATAATTGTTATATTGATATTTATTTAGAAACTACAAATGGTATGAAAAGACCATTAGAAGATTAATAAAAAAACAAATATATTTTAAAAATAAGCTTTAAAACTTCAAATCATTATAATTAAGTAACCGCTAAGAAAATTATTTAAGAATAAGAGCATTCATATTAAAACTTTGAAAATTTGGAAACATAAGAAAATTAAGATGAAGACTAATTTGACCTTAAGGTAAAACAACTATATTAGAATATTTACTTTTTTAGTTTTTATTTATTAATATTTTATATATTATTATTTTTTATAATAAACATATAATTTATTTTTAAAAAATAAAGTTACTATGTATAAAAAGCAATTCATAGAAACTATAAAATTAAGAATCATATTCGAATATCGGATTCACCTATATTAACTTTTTAGAATTAAAATTGAAATATTTAATAAATTTAATGGGTTATGATGATAATATACATAAATAAAGTGGTACATTTACTATATTTTATGAGAAAGTATATTTTAAAAGTGTATAATAAAAAAACTTTAGCCAAATATATTAAAATAAGGCAAATGATATTATTTTACAAAATTAATCAAAAATAATAACAAATGAAATGTAATAAAATTACATAAATTAAATTAATCAAAACTTGCCATAATATTTGATTAATCATAGTTGGAAATTATGTTATTTACCTCATATACATGGATATTCTTTTAATGAATTTTTATTTAAATCTTTGGAGTGTTTAGGACCTAATGTAATATTAATTTAAGATTCTCATAAAAATATTTTTGGAGCATTTGCATCTTAGGGATGGAAAAAATAAATGAATTTTTATGGAGATGGAGAAAGTTTTCTATTTAAATTTGATTATATTGATTAAATTTAGGATATGAAAATTTAAGTTTTCAAATGGACAGGATTAAATAATGATATTTAATATTGTGGAAATGAAGGCATTGGGTTAGGAATGGGAGATAATTATGGGCTTTTTATTAATAACGATTTTTATAAAGGAATTTCTTCTAAAAGCTATACATTTGGAAATAATATAGGATTACATTAAAATACTGAATAAAACTTTTAAACTAAATCTGAAAAGATTATATTATATTTTTTTTTTTTAATAAATTATAATTTATATATATATATATATTATAGTGGTTTTAGTAGTGCGAAAAAATTTAAACTTTAAGAATTTTTCATTGATGTTATTGAAATCTGGAGTCTATGCGAATATGATTAAAACATAAATAATATATCTTCTTAGATAAAAAATTTTTCAACCTGAAAATTAATTAAAAAAATAATATTTTAATATATATTAAATCGGAAATATAATAATAATTTATTTATATTCATTATATAAACCATTTTTTTTTATTTATATAAATTTAAATAAATACAAATTTTATTTATTTCTTTTTATTCTATTAAAAAATCATCAAAATTACATATAACTACAAAATTATGAAAATAGAAATACTTATATATTTATAAATATAATATACTTTCATTCAATAACTTATCCATCTCTAAATTATCCTTCGAAACTACTTCCATCTGGTTTTCTGAAATCCTTTTAAAAAATTAATATAAAGGAAAAAATAAAATAAATACTCCAAATCCATTCATTTTATCATATTTCCATTCTCCATTATATTATTCACCATTATTCCAAAAGTATATACCTTTACCATGTCTAACATTATTAAGCCAATAACCTTCATATCTTTCTCCATTAGCAAAATTATATTCTCCTCTACCATTTTTCTCTCCTTCTTTCCATTCACCATAATAAACATCTCCAGTTGTGACATAAAGTCTTCCTAAACCATGTCTTTTGTCATTTTACCATTCACCTTCATATCTATCTCCGTTGACATAGAAATAAATACCTTTTCCGCTTTTTTCTCCTTCTCTAAATTCTCCTTCATATCTATCTCCATTTACATGAATAAATATTCCAATTCCATTCTTATAATCATTAGCCCATTAGCCTTAATATTGACTTCCATTGCTAAAATAATAAGTTCCTGTTCCATGTTTTTCACCTTCTAGCCATTCTCCTTCATATTTATCTTTATTGGTGTAATACATAACTCCTTGTCCATTTGCTCTATCTCTTTACCATATGCCTTCATACCTTGCTCCTGAAGAATAAAATAGGGTTCCTCTTCCACTTTTGAAACCATTTTCCCACCTATATTTGTTTATTTTACTTTTTTTTTATTTGTTTACATTCCATCATATTTATCACCAAATGCAAAATAGTATATACCATGTCCGTTTCTTTCCCCGTTTTTCCATTCCCCTTCATATTTTTCTCCTGTCGTATTATAAATATAGACACCATTTCCTTCCTTTTAATCGTTTTTCCATTATCCTTCAAATATGTTTCCATTTATATAACAATATCTAAGTTTTTTTTATATTATTTAACAAAAAACAAAAATTATTTTTTACTTTCCAAATCCATGTTTACGTCCGTTTTATAATTAACCTTCATATCTTTCTCCCAAAGAAAAAATATATTTTCCTTCGCCATCAAAAACATCTTCTTACCAATCTCCAAGGTATTTATCACCATTTGGATATCTTTATATATTTTTTTATATAAATTTCAATATAAACTTTTTTACGTGTATATTCCTTTTCCATGTTTCATACCATTTATCATTTAACCCTAATAAACAGAACCATCAGGAGATGTTATAGGCGTGTAATTATGATTTTTAATGAATTTATCGATAAAATCTTACACTATTAAATCTTTTTATTATATCATTTAATCTCTCTCTTTTTCGGGCTAAAAAGCACGACGATTCGGCGATTATTAAGGATAGGCTACGGATTTATGATGGAAAAAACTACTTCCTAATATATTTGTATTTGCTAATAAATTGCTATTTCTTATAAATTATGAATTATTTTGGTTATTACTTGAAACAAATTAACTATTATTTAGCATTTTTTTAGTTTATTTGTATTCTTTTTTTTAATTTTTTAGGAAAAATAAAAATTAATGAAAAAATATAATAAGAGATTATAATATTTATATTATAAAATAAAATATTAACACTTATTTTATTATTTAATTTTATTTATAAAATTTTAAAATTAAAAAAATAAATAATTTTCTTTATTTTTAATTAATAATAAAAAGTATAAAATATATAATAATTTAATTTATTCATAATAATTTTTTTTTATTTTTGATATTTTTTTAATTATTAAATGTTTATTCATTATTTTATTAATCTTAATTTAAATTTAATATATATGAAAAATAATAGATATAATTTTCTATTTTTTAATAAAAATTAATTTATTTTAAAATATATTAAAACATATATAAAATAACTTGTATTAAATTATTTATACATATATATTAATATAGATATGATATTTATAATCATGCGAATTTAGCTATTTTTTATTTATAAGTTTCTAAAAAGTTTAATTTATAATTTTCATTTATTTATTTATTTTGATAAGAAAGGTCTGATTATAAATTTTCTTAATTATTTTATACTGTGTTATCTAAATTATATCCTTTAAAAAGATCTATAAAAAATAAAAAAAATATTTTATTTATAAAAAACAAATATAATAAAACAAGAAGAAATAAATGCTAAAATATATAACTTTAAACTTCTTATTTTTTCAAAAGAATCGCATTTTATTAAATTAATTATTATTCTTATAATTCATCTTCATAAGATATAATTTATTTAATATCAAAGTTATCTTAAAATTTCTATATATAAAATACTAAATAAATAATTATAATTTTCTAATTTTTTACAGGCTAAAAAGGAGATATTAGTTATTTCAAATATACTTTTTTCCAAGGATAATTTTTAAGCCAAGGATGATTTTTAACTTCATCTGGTCCATTAATTCCTAATCTTAAAGCAGGTTTTCTTTCAATTAACTTAAAAGTAAAATAAAAAATATTAATAATATTATATTAATATTTAAAGAAACCTTATTTATGAAATCAGCTGCATCTATAGACCATCCTTAAGGCACTTCATATTCTTTAATTCTAACTTTTTTTGCTAAAATATGGTCTTTTATCTCCTATCTTGTCCTTCCAACGTAAGGTCTCTTTTTTTTATTTTTTTAAATATTTTTATATACTTATAAAAATATTTTTATAAAATTTAATCTTTATAAAAAAATACTCTTTTTTATATTTACTCTTCCTAACATAAACTCAAATGCAATAATACCCAAAGCAAAATAGTCTACTGCAAAAGTATGAGGATGCCTGCACATTACTTCTGGTGCTATTTATTTTAATAAAAAAGAAAATAAAAAAAAACAAAAACTTTAATAAAATACCCATATATCCAGGCGTCCCTGATGTGTCTTTTTAATTATCAGGATGCCATACTCTAGCAACTCCAAAGTCTGTTATTTTCACATAACCTTAACTGTCTAGAACTAGATTTTCTGGTTTTATATCCCTGTGTATGATATTATTTTTATGCAAATATTCCAATCCGAAAAAAATATTTGTAATAAAAAATTCTTTTTTTTATTTAATATTTTCCTTATTTTTTATTATTATTATTATTACTTGTTTATTCTTCTGTAAATTTTCTTTATCTGCCTATATGATAACGAAGATCTCCACCTTCCATAAAATCCATTATTAAATAAAGATTATCTCTGTCTTAGAATGAATAATGCACATTAACAATAAAACTTTATTTTTTTAATTTATACTCTATATAAGTTTTTATTTTATTTACGGGTGTTTTAATTTACATAGCAATTCTCTTTCATTTAGAACTGAATTTACAGATTTTTTACTTATTATTCTTTTTTATTGATTAAACAATTAAATAATAATAAACATTTTACAAAGACTTAGACATTTCTTTCATTGCATATACTTTTCTGGTTTTCCTTTATTCTACTTTCCATACTTTTCCAAATCCACCCTTTCCTATTATAAATTAAACTGAAAAATGTGATTTTTAAATATGAAAAGGTTCTATATATAATTGAGAAAAGTTTTCATTAATAATTTAACTATCCTTATAATTTGTGCTATTATCAATATTTTATTTTCTTTGTTCTTAAATGCTTTTGAATTATTCATTTTTTGAAATTCCTATTTTTACAAGATTTTGAAGATTATAAAAAGATTTTTTTTATTTATTTTTAAAATTAGTTTTTTTATTTTTTGTTTTTTAATAAACTCTTTATTTTTTACTTTTTTACTAATTTTATTCACTTTATTGATATCTTAATAATAAAGGATATTTCGAAAATTACAAATGTGATTATAAATTGCTTAATTAATTTTTTTATTAATTTATTATAGGTGATTAGCTTTTTTCATTATTAAATTAAATATATTAATCTTATATTTGGTTTTACGATTAATATATAGATGATTAAAAACTATTATTTTAAATTTTAATAGAATTTGTTTATTAATTTATCAATTTTTAACTTTTTTAAGTTAAATCACTAAAAGATGATTTTTTTGAATTTATTGAAGAATTACTAAATTATTATAATTACTTTATGTTCTTTAAATTTTGTACATCTAAATGGATTTATTATAAATTTTATTTGATTTATTTTGCTAATTCGGATTCTTCTATATTGTTTGTTTGCTTATTGCTAATATTATTTTACATTTATTTATTTTACAAAATAGTTAAATGTTATTTAGTTTTACTTGTTTTATTAATTTATGAAATTAAAAAATAATAATAATACACATTGTTAGTTATTACCTTAATTAAATATTAATTGCATAAATATAATAAAAAAATAACTAATTTAAATATTTTATTACATATTAAAAAAAAATTAATAAAAGTAAATAAATAAAATTATATATTTAAAATAAATAAAAAAATATGGAAACTTTCAAATCAAAATAAATTAAGTTAAATGAATTCGAAATAATGCAAACATTAGGAACAGGTATTAGATATAAAATAGATTATTTTTTAATTAATTATAATATTAAAAATAACAAAAAATAATAAAAAAGGATCTTTTGGAAGAGTAAGACTTGCTAAACAAAAATCAAATGGAGATTATGTAGCTCTTAAAATGCTTAAAAAAGCAGAAATATTGCGTTTGAAGTAAGTGGATCATATAATATCAGAAAATACAATATTATCAAATATAAATCATCCATTTTTAGTGAGATTACTTATTTCTTGTTTCTATTTTTTTAATTAAACTAAAAAAAAAGATAAAGATGTTAGGGTTTAGTTAAGATGATAGATTTTTATATTTTGTATTAGAATATATATAAGGAGGGGAGCTATTTACTTATTTAAGAAACAAAGAAAAATTTGAAAATAATGAAGCATAATTTTATGGGGCATAAGTGTAACTTTAAATTATAATATCAATATATTTAATTATAAAATAATTTAAGAGTTTGCATGTTTGAATATTTACATGGAAAAAATATTGTTTATAGAGATTTAAAGCCAGAAAATATATTAATAGGAGCAGACGGATATTTAAAATTAACAGATTTTGGGTTCGCTAAATATTGTGATTCTAGAACTTATACACTTTGTGGAACTCCTGAATATCTAGCTCCTGAAATACTTCTGAACAAAGGACATGGAAAACCAGTTGATTGGTGGTGTTTAGGGATACTTATATATGAAATGATTGCAGGTAATTTATTAAAAGATAGATAACATTATTTTAAAATATATAAATATAAAATATAAATAAATTATATATAATATATATATATATATTATATATATATATAATTATTTATTTTAAAGGAATTGATCCGTTTAATGACGAGGACCCTATGTCTATATATTAAAAAATTTTAAAAGGTAAAGTTAAATTCCCAAGAAATTTTGACAAGTATTTTACTATCAAATTTATTTTTTTCAAAATTAATTAATAAAAAGAAATGCTAAAAGTCTTGTTAAACATTTACTGGTTGCGGATTTAACTAAAAGATATGGAAACTTAAAAGGAGGTTATTTTTTATTTTATATTATATAATTTTTAGTATAAAGAAAATAATATTTATAATATAAGGTGTCAATGATATTAAAACACATAGATGGTTTGGTGATATGGATTGGGATGCTTTATTATAAAAAAAAATGCCGGCAATTTATAAACCACCTATTAAAGGTAAAAATGATACTTCGAATTATGGAAGCTACCCAGATTCAACTGAATTGCCAAAAGCTATTAAAAGTTCTGATGATCCTTTTATAAATTGGTGAATTAAAAATAATTATTATGTTTTTGTTATTCTCTATGAATAAATAAACTTATTAAAAGTTTTTTCTTTTTCAATATTAATTTTTTTTAATTACTAATTATATATATATATATATAATATTTTTTTTGTATATAGAATAAAATAAAAATGATTTATTTTTATAAATTTTACATTTCAAAACTCTTCATTTATAATTTTTCCGTCTTTCCAAATTCCTTTTCCAGTTCTTCCATCTTATAAAATAACTAATCCTTGTCCATTTTATTTATTGTCTTTCCATTCTCCTTTATAAATTTTTCCGTCAGGATAAACCATTTCTCCATATCCACATTTAACTCCGTTTTTAAAATTCCCTATTATATTAAAAAAAGAAATCAAATAAATAATGCAAAAAAAAGCAATAAATACCTGTATATATCTTTCCATTAGTATTTTAAAATTTACCAAATCCTTACATTTTATAATTAACCCATTATCCTTCATATTTACTTCCGTTTTTAAAAAAATGTACCCCTTCTCCTTATACAACTCCATCTTGGAATTCACCTTCATAATAAGACCCATCTTCTTTCCATATAAGTTTACCTTTTCCATGTTTTTTCCCATAACAAAACTGACCTTCATAAATAAAATCGTAATTTTCTTCTTTTCCGTATCCATGTTATTTATCTTCTAGCCATTCTCCTTCATATTTTTATCCGTCTTAATGAATGAAAATCCCAAATCCTTAAGCTCTGTCTTTTAGCCATTATCCTTAATAAAAATCTCCATCGCAATGAATCAATCTTCCATTTCCATTAGCCATATCATCTTCCCATTCTCCTTAATATATTGATCCATCTACCCAAAATTATAATCCACGGCCTTATCTTTTCCCGTTTAACCATTATCCTTTATATACTGCATCTGTTTTAAAAAATTTATAAGGAGGGAGCTTAATTAAATATCTATGGTCATTATTTACAGCATATTTGTATGGATTTTTTTTCATTATATCAACTATTTAAGGCTTTAATTATATTTAATTACTACTACATCTTATTGCAATAGAAGGATGCGGTTAATTTTGTATAATTTTTTATTTTAGTGCTTTTATGGCTCTACGTGCAAATTATCCTCTGACAAAATTCTATATTTTTAATATTTTTTGGTATATTTCAGGAGATTTATAATCAATTTTTTATGAACTTATTTATATTTGTGATATTATTGATGTATTTTCACATGGTTAGGGTTCTGATGTACAGCTTCCCATTTATTTATTTTTAACGGAAATATTTTTATTTTTTATATTAAAGTTTTTTACTGTTTGCTTTTTATTATAATATATATTTTTTTTGAGTTATTTATAATTCAAGTAAAATTATTGAAGTTTTAATTTTTGTTTTATAATTTTCTAAATTATTTTAACTATTAAACAAGTCTATTGAGATATAGAATAGATAATATGAATATTTTTTGTTAGATGTATACATCAAACTATATTTCTTTTAGCGACATTAATATTTTTAATTAATTAATTTAATAATTTGAAAAAATTAAATAGAAATTATGCCTTTATATATATAATATTTACTAAAAACAAACGAATAAATATAATTTTTTTATTCAAATCTCATCATCCCATTCATTACTTAATTCAGGTTCGAAATCTTATTATATGTCATATTAAAAGCTCTTATCACCGGGTTTCTTTTAGTTTTTTTGGAACTAAATATCCATATATTTTTTATGTTAATCTAATTCGTCTTAAGTTAATTTATTTAGATTAGCATTATTATAATCAAATTATTTAAATTTTTATTATATTTATTTTTAAGAATTGTCATCTACTTCAAAATCATCTTCGTAATTTTCAAAATCTTCTTTATAATTTGAACTTATTGATTTTTAAGGATTTTTTTCACTAAAAGATCCTATTTCGTCAAAATCATATAATTATTATTTATTGTTTTATTATTTTGTTTATTATTAAGTTTTTACTTGTTATTAATTTTAATGTTGTTTTTGACTTTAAGTTTTGTTTTCATTTTACTTTTAATTTTATTACTATTATTCTTTTTGAGAAAGATATTATTATTAATTTTTTTAATTTATGTTATTAGATGCTGTTTTTTACTTCTTTTTTTTTTTTTCATTATATAATATGTATTATTTAGATTAATTACATTATAATTTAATGAAAAACTATTTTCTTCGCTACTTTCATCTAAATCTAAATCATAAGGATTAAACTTTTTATCAGATTTTTAAGGATTTTTTTCTTGTTATTTATTACTATTCGTTGTTTATATATTATTATTAATTATTTATTAAGGTTAGGGTTTTTTATTTCCATAAATTCTTAATTTTAACTTTTCTAATAATCCTTTTTATTTTTTTGGTTATTAATTATATTATAAATTGTATTATTATTATTTTACTTTAAATTTACTATAAATTTATTTTATCAGCATAAAAATATTTATAATATTTATCTTTTAATTCATTTGACTTTTTTTTTGGGTCGGTAAACTCATTTAAATCTTTCACTTTGAATATATGATAAAAAGATTTACCGGTACTTGGAACTAAATATTCTAAAACTTAGTTTTTATAATTTTTTTTTTTTTTAAATATTATATTAATTTTACTTATTTCTTTTTCTATATATTTTAGGCCAAATCTTTTTGGAATATAATCATATGGATTGATTCTATTTTTTACTAAATTAAATTTTATTGTATTATCAATATATTATAAATTTTAAATGTTTACTCATTTTAAGTAAATTTAAATATATGAAATTTTTTTATTTTATTTTTTTAAATAAAATAAATAATAATTATAAAATCAATTATATGGTATTTTAAAAAATAGTTAAATTAATATTTTAATAAATAATTTTTATAAAATTAGTATATAATCAAACATAAATATATATAATAATTAAAAGATAAAGTTTCATTTATTGATTTCAATAAAAAGTTTATTTAAAATATTAATTATTAATAAAAAACAAATATTTTAAAACATATTTTTTTTATCTAATTCAAAAAAATCATAAGCCATAAGATTTTAACCTATCTTTAGTAATTTTAGTTTCTTGTTTAGATAAATCTTCTAAAATTAATTAAGGTTTTGTATTTTTTTATTCTTCTTATTTAATTTTTTTTTACTTTATCTCTTCTTTTTATTACTATATTTTTTTAAGTTCTTTTAAGTACTTTTTCTTATCTTTTTTTTTAAGTTCTTTTAGATTTTCTTTAAATGTAAGACCCTATTCTTAATCTTTTTTGATAATTTTCTATTTTATATATAAATAAATAATTGTATAAATATGTATATATATATATATATATATATATATTTTATTAATATATTTATATAAATAAATACCTTATTTTCTTTTGAAGAGTTTTAAATTTACTTAATAATTAATTTATTTTTAAGGTTTTTTTGCTTAACTTTTCCTTCGTCATCTCTATAAGGTGCTAATTTTTTAATTGATACATATTTATTTAATATATGATTATCTGCAAAAAGTAATTATTCATCACTTAATCCATATGATTCAGGTCTTACATCAAGATACTTTTTTTAAAAATAAAAAAAAAGTTAAAAAAAGTAAAAACAAAAAAAAAACAAAATTTTTTCTTTTTTAAACTTTACTTTAAATCTCGTCTTTATACCACCAGTAATAACATCTTCGAAATCAACACTATAATATTAATCTACAAGTTTTTGTATTTCTTCATCATTTACATATTTTTTTAATTTTGCAGGATTATTTTAAGCTAATTCTTCTAAATTTACTTTTTTAGCTTCTACATATTCATAAAGTTTTTTTTAATAAATTTAAACTTTGTCAAAACATTCATCACAAATTATTATTTCATTATTACTTTAGAGCTAGTAATAACTACAATAATCATCTAATTTAATAAAACATTAATTACAAACTTTATATTAATTTAAAATTTCTAATATTTCTCCATCAGAAGGTGGCTTTTTTATATTATATTATTATATATATGTATATATATTTATTTTTTTACTTAACAATTTTAAGGAACAGTACTTTTCTTAGTATTATGCTCGTGGAATTTTCCATCATTGCATAATTTACATAATGTAAAATCAGGGCATTATACACAATCATATTTAAATTAACCAGGTTTAATTCCTTTTTTGCAATCTTTATTTATTTTAATATAAAATAGAATAAATATATATATATATATATATATATATATATATATATATATATATATATATATATAAATTAAATTACTATCACAATACCACCATAAATATACTCCATTTTAATCTTTATCGTTTTATATCATAGCTTATATTTCACTTTTTTTTATTTTTGTTAATAAAAATAAATTATATATATTAATTTTTTTTACTTATCTTTTAAGTTTTTTTTAGACGCTAAAGGAATATTTACTTTTGGGTTTAAAAGATTCTCTTTATCCTCACCTAATTGAGTTTCTGGTTTTTCCTTTTATTTATTTTATTAAGTGTCATCATTTTCATCATTTTTTTCTTGCTATTTGTAGAACTTTTTTTCATATTCTTTAAGTTCATCTAAATTTTCATCTTCTTAATCATAATAATCTGAGCCAAGCTTTTTTTTTATTTTGAATATAAAATCTATTATTTATTTAAAAACTTGTTCCTATAATTTTTATGTAAACTTTTCTTCGTCATAATCTTCTTCAATTAATAAATTAATTCCTTCGTTTATATTTGAAGTACCGGCAGTTTATTGTATTTTTTTAATTTTTTACATAAGAGCCTATTTTGTAGCATTTTTAATTTATTTTATTTCATTTTTATAATTTTTATTTTTCTTCTTTCTTTTTTTGGTCTTTTTCTTTTCTTTTTTCTGCTCTTTTTGTATCTTTTTATCTATAAGTTCCTTCAATCTCTCTTCCATATGCTTTTTTTTTATTATAAAGTAAAAAATTACTTTATTTATATTTAAAATATTACTCACTATTTGATTTCCATTTTCTTCTTCATATCTAAAATTATATTTAGATTCAAATAAATCTGCTTTATCATCTTCTTCTTCATCCTATTCTTCAAGCTTTTAATCGACATTAATATCATCTTTATCAACCCAACTAAAAAACAAGAATATAAATAAAAAATATCTATATATTATAAATAAATACCCTTTAGTCAATATAAATTTTCTTAAAAATCTATCAGCTTCATCAAGTTTATTTTCATTTCCCCAAAACTTTTAAAGGATTTCAATTTCTTAGTCCTTTCCTTTGTTTAATTTTCTCTTTTTTTATTTTTCCAAAAACTTATTGAATTCTTTATTTTCATCTTCGACTTATTAATTAGTTTTTTTCGTTTAAATAAATAAATTGTCTTCTTCCTCGTTTTTTTTAAGTGCTGCTCTTTTAAATTCTTATTTTAATCTTTGTTATTCTTCTATTCTTGTCTCCTCCCTTTATTTATTTTATTATTCGGAATTTTCTGAATAATCTTCATCATCTATTTTTCCTAATACTTCTTCTTATATCATATCTTTATATGTATATCTTTTTTATTATTTATTCTTATTTTCTTATTCTATGTCTAAATTGCCAAAATCTTTTTCTTTAAAAAATTATTTTTCTGTTTTGTATATAGATGGGTCTTTTTCCCTTATTTTTGCTAATGTTTTTATAAACTTCACGCTTACTTTCTCATTTAATAATTCTCCTTCTGAATCATCTTCTAATTCACTACTACTATCTTCATTATATTAATCTCCTTCAATTATTTCTGTTAAATTAAATATTAATATTTAATTATTATTATTTTTTTATTTATTTACTTTTATAATTATCTCCATATTTGACTTTTGCTTAATCAATTATCTGTCTTTATTTTCTTTTCTCAAATTTATCGGCAAATTGTCTGTTTATTTTTAATTTAATCTTTTAATTATCTTATTTTTCATTTTGTTAATCTTCTTAGTCTTCGAATAAATTTAATTTGTTCATTTTTTTAATATTTAAATATATACAAAATTAAATTTGTACTTTTTTTATATACAAATTACTTATTTTTATTTTTTTAGTTTAATAATATGTTTTTTTATATTAAAATATTTTTTCTAAATTCAAAAACATAAAAAATTATAGCATAAGAATTAAATTATTTATCTATTAAAATTTTAATTTATTATATATAATAATGATTTGCTTTTTTTTATTTAACTATTAAAATCTATATAATAGGGTAAATATTTATATTTTATTTTAATTGGTTATTATATATTTTATATTTATTAGTTTATCTTATTTTTTATTTTATAAGATTTCTAATATATACTTTTATATTTATCATATATTTTATCTTTAATATTAATCACTTGTATTTTTTTTCATATAATTATTTTTTCTTGATATTTTATTATTAAAACCTAGAGATTAGATATTATTATTATTTAATTTACTTTACATATATTCAATTGAAAATTCTTTTTTATAAATCATATCTTTAAATTTTTATCCAACATTAGGATATATTTTGATTAAATATATATCAGAATCCATTAATTAAATTTCTTATATATTCCTAATTTTCATATTTTATAATATTTATAATTTTACAATATAAATAACGTTAGAAAATTATAAAATTAATTTTTTTTCAACATTCTTTATATTTTTATTCTAAATAAGAAGTAAGAATTAGCTTTTCTTTGCTAATAAAAATCTTCCAAATTTTCTAAAATCAATAAATTTGCTATTTGTAACAAAAACAAATTTTAGAAATCATCTTTCAGTTCTCATTTATAAGAATTGTGATTTTATTAAAAGTTTATATATAAGCACATATGTTTCAATTATTTATATATATTATCAAATCTTTATTAAATTCTTATTCTTATTCTTATTCTTATTCTTATTCTTATTCTTATTCTTATTCTTATTCTTATTCTTATTCTTATTTTATATAATTTGAACTCGTATAATAAACATATACTTGAAGTATATAGGGAAAATAATTGTTTTTGTTTTAAAATAAACGTAATTATTATTTAAAGCTTAAGCAACGCATATTTTAAAAATAAAATTCATTTCTAATGACCATAAATTTAATTTCTCCTTAATAAAAAACTACAGTTTCTGTTATATAAATCATTAAAGCTTATTATTCATTGCTTATTCCATATAATTTAATACAAATAAATATATAGTATATATCAAATTTAAAATTAGATTTCTAGATTTCGTTTATTATATTATTTAAGGCTAATTTCTAGAATATTTTCATATGATATAGACAATTTTTTAAAAAATGCAAATACAATTTATATTAAAAATTTATAGATGTTATTCTTTAGTATTAGTTATACTTTCAAATTATATGTCATTAGATTTTATTAAAATTCGGGTTTATAATTAATAATTAGTAATTAAGATATATAATTTTGTTGTTATTAAAAAATAAAAATTAATTAATATTTTAATATAATATTATTATAGTAATAAATATAAATATTTATATATAATTAATAATTTTTTATATAGTTATTATATGTAAAATTAATTATATAAAAAATATTAATTTTTAGAAACATATATTATATTTATTAATATATATATATATATATAATATATATATATATATATATATATTTAATTTAATTAAAATTATTAATTTAATTTTTAACTTTCAATATATTTTTTTTACAAAACAAATATTACTCACTCCTAAAACTTATAAAATTAATGGTTTTTCAATTAATTTTTTATTAATTTCAAACATTTATTAAAATCCGCATTTTTTATATAAATTCTAAGCTCGAGTATTTGTATTTAGAAAAGTTAAATAAATATATTATTTATTAAGTTCTTACGCATATTATTAAAAATGTTTAACTAATTTATAGCCTAGTCCTTTATTTCTATAATTTTACTTAATACAAAACTTTTTTAATTCAATTAAATTTTCTTTTTATGTATTTAGTTATTAATCTATGTCAGGTAAATATTTATTGTTATGGTTTTAATCTGCTTCAACCATTCCTAATACTTCCTTATTTTAATTTATTACTATAAATATCTAATTATTATTCAAAAATAATTTTTCAATGTTTTAGTATAATATTTTTAATAAATATTTTTTCATTGAATATTAACATATTTACTTAAAAATATACCCAAAAAATATAATTAAGAGTAAAATTTAAGTTAATTTTATTTTTTCTAATATTATTAGTATTTATATTAATAATATTATTATTAAATAAGGAAAAAATCCGTGTTATTTTAATGGAAATTTAAAGTATTAAAAGCCTTTCAAAAGCATAGTTTAAGGGAAACTTTCTTTATATAAATTTATTACTTGTTATTTATATTATTCTTAATATTAAATAATATATATATCATTCATAATTAAATATTAAACTATAAAAATAATTAAATAAAGATATATTTAATAATATTACAGTTTTTTATATATTAATTAAATTTGAAAAATTTTTTTAAAAAAAATTTTAATTAAATTATATAAAAATAATTAAAAAAAAGAAAAAAATATGAGTAGTTACACTATAGCAGGTTCAGCCGATAAAGAAGAAACAGCAATAGTAAATTTAAACAAATAAATATATTTAAAAAACAAAAAAAGTGTGAAACAATAGCGAATACTATAAAATCTTTTTACAAAAATATTGACTTTAGAATTATCATTAAGCATCCTTCAGAATGGGATGAATATATACATGAAGTAAAACAATAATTATATATTATAATAAAAAAATAATAATTTAAAAAAAAAATAGATTTGTAGAATATATGGATTTAAATAAAACAAAAATCCAATAATATTTACCTTGGATGGAAAGCTTATTGGGGATATAGAAAAATTTAAAGAGATGACTGAAAGTAAATTCGGAATTGACACATAATATATAGTAAACCCGATCAAAACAGAAATTAATATGAAATAAGTAGAAAAAGAAATGAAAGAAAAGAAGAAGAACTTAAAAAATAAGAGAAATTTATAAGAAAAAATATAAATTAGTTTAAAATAAAAATATGAAGAAGAAATGATTTTACCTACAAAAGGAATTTTCGTTTCTGAAATAAATGAAGGCTTATAAGTAATTTTTTTTTTTTGTCTTTTTTTTTGATGAAAATATTTTTTATTTTAGTTTTGTGTTAAATATGTTGAAAAAATATGTCCTAAAGTTTATATTAGCCCTGTTGAAAACAAAGAAGTTGTTTAATAAATAATAACTCCAGGTATTATTGTTTACATAATAAAAAAGAAAATATATTATTTCATTAATTAAAATAGCCGATATAAATGTCTAATAAGTATAAGCAAACGATACTTTTCCTCCTGAAATTTTAGTTGAAGAATAACCAGTTATATTAGAAGGCTAAGATCTAACTAAAGGTTTTAAATCGCCAAAATTAGGCGAAAACTCAAACTAGAATAACGAAAGTAATGATGTTTCGAAACATACCACATTTTAATAGGCATTGAATTTGGAATAAGATAATATTATTTAAGATAATAACTAATAAATATAAAATTAATAATATTAAATTGAGGAAAACAACTAATAAGCATAAGAGAATTAAGAGTAACAATAATAAGAACAATAAGAAGAATAATAATAAGAACAATAATAATAAGAATAGCAAATAGAATAAAATAAAGAAGAATTAAAAGAACTTATAGAAAGAATAAAGATCATAGAAGGAAATAATTAAGGTCAATTAGTAAATATGAACAATTATATAATTAAATCGGTAAAAAAGAGTATATATGTTTAAATACTTATTTTTATTTAAAATAAAAACAGTTAAAAGACAATTATTATCTTTCTGTTCATCCGAATCCTCTTTTTAATGGATAATTAGTTATTTTTGAATCTTATCCTGTAGAAGGATAAAATTAAGAGGTCTTTTTAAATGATTATAGTAAGGTTTAAAGAAGTATAAGAAATAGAGAAAATGGAAAAGCTTAAAAGGAATAATATTAAAAATAACAAAAAAGGCTTGAAGAATAAAAATAGCGTTTAGAAGAATTAAAGAAAATTCAAGAAGAAAATAATAATAATGATAATGAAAATGGAAATTAATTTTAAAGTAATAACTAAGACTTTTAGGAAGAAAAAATAATTGCTGAACCTCCTTCATATAATTTTAAAAGTAGAACAAATAGAAATTGTATAGATATGTTAAAACCTTTATCTATATAAGATTGGAAAATTGTTAATAAAATAATAAATAAGGTTGACTGCTTTGTTACTTTTTAAATATTGCCTTTTGGATTTGAAAATTAGTTTGAACTTTCGAATGGAATTTTGAATGTTTTTTTAAGACATTTTATGGTTAATATTCACCAAAATTAAAGTATTTTACCTTTACTTTAGTTCTATTAAAATTAATAAAATCCTAAAAAAACTTATTTGCCTATTGAATCTATCATTATTTCAGAAAAAGATAAAGCAAAAATAATTGGAAAAAAATATTATTAAGGTATTTATTTAATTCTATTAAATTCTATTTTTATTTTATTTTATATTTTTTATTTTATTTTATTTTATTTTATATCTTTTATTATATTTTATTTTAATTAGTTCCTTCTCTTTAATTTGAGCATTTAATTTTTTATTTTAAGAAACCTGTATAAAAAGAGAAAAAATATGCTATAAATTTTAAAAAAATGATGAAACATTTAATAAAAAATGAAGAAGGTATTTAAAAATATAATAATAAATATAAAATAAAAAATAAAATTATAGAAGAAACATCTATTGGTTTCAATCTAATTATTTCAAATGAAATTATGCTTTTAGTACCTTTAAGATAACCTTATTCTTACTTTAATAGTTAACCTCTTTTTTTGAATCCTTTTTCATATTTAGGATATATGCATTTGCCTTAATTAAGTAAAATATGGCCTTCATCAGCATTTTAAGTGGAAGATTTATAAAAGCCAATGGATAGATTAATAAAAGAATCATAATATAAAA